TTCTAAAAATTTGGAAAAAAGAAATTTGGAAAGAAGAAAATTCAAAAATCGAGATTTAGACTCAGCATCAAATGGAGAACAAAATGTTTCTTCATATGAAGGAAAAAAATTTTCTTGAGAAGAAATAGAGTTTTTAAAATTTTATTGTATGTAATAAAATAAACAAATATTAAAATTATTTTTTGATAACAAGAAAATTCCCAACAGAAAATATTTGAGACAAAGAAAAAAAGAAAATTGAAAATATTACTCTCCTTTACATTTCTTGAGATTTTCAATTTATTTTTATAAAAATGACAATTTTATACGTTTAGATGAAAATAAGTGATTTTGCTTGAAATAAAAATTATTGTTTGTTTACAGCTATCAAATAGATTTTTGCTATTTTGATTAAAATTTGTTAATCAAATTAATAATTTTTTCTAAATATCTTAAATATCTGGATCACTCACTGATACGATGAATTAAACGATAAAAATAATACAAACTCAACTAAGTTTCCTGTCTTTCAACCAAAAAATATTATGCAATTTAAATTAAAATTGTTTATTCAAATATAAAACAAAGATGAAATAATTACAGTTATCATAAACTTTATGAATAACTCTGTAATTGGTTCAGATTTTCGTAAAAATATTTTTATTAATATCGATAAGAATATGTTTACCTACTATCATCACATATCTATAAACAAGAGTAGAGTGATTTTTATCATCGAAACTTTTTAAAAGCTGCAAGCTGGAAGTAAAAATCTTGTTTTTTTTTTCTGAGTTAGTGTTTAGAACTATTGATTCCGAGTTATCATTGTGATGTAGAAGGATGTCAATGTACTGACTGAAGGATATGAAGTGAATGAATTTCATTGAATTTCAATTTGATCAAATTTGTTGAAATTATATGAATGTGTCAACATCTGTATCACTCTCCTTCACTTCTTCCCTATTTTTTCGAGAACGAAACTAGCTCAGCTTTCGCGTAGCGAATTGACACTTTTGATGCCCTAAACGTACATACTCTCAAATTTATCGAAAAAAATAATACTACCTAAACTCGTATATTCTTATTTTAAATATGATATTATCCTTAGATTCCACACCAGAATATATTTAAATCAACTTTTAAAAAAGTTCGAATCCTGCGCGTCTCACTTTTTAAATTTTCCAAATGGAAAATTATATTCTCCTAAATCGAAAACAATTTTCCGAATTGACATCCTTATCTTTGTTCAATTATATTCATTTAAAAAATATATTGAGATTTCATACAAAGATTTGGATTTTATTTCACTGAGTAATTAGCAGATTGTTCGAATGTATTTAAGTTTTTAGGAGGATGTTTAGATTGAATCACTTGAGTACATATACTCGCTATAAGAATCTTCTTCTTCAGCCTTTTCATCTTTCTTCTTTCTATACAATATTGCTAATGCAATTATTCCTATAACGAATACAACTACATCAAGAATTATCATAATTATAACGAATAACTGCCAATTAAAACTTTTGGAATTTGGAGAGGTATCGCCTCCACCTCCGAGTTAGATTCACCGCCTCCTTTTGGAGATGGAGATGGCCGAGGAATTGGAGGAGGATTTGATGCGAATGGATCAGTATCAAAACTACTTTGACCTAAAAGTTTCCTTGTTAAACAGAATTGCTTTGGATCTGGGCAAAAATAATCATATTTGAAGGTTGTACCACCAACTGAATGCTGATATGAATGAACTATTAATGAATGATTATCTCCAGTTTTGCATGTATTTGTTTTGCCATCTGAAGCATTGAAGGTAAATTGAGAATTATCATCTGTACATGAATAATTTCCACATAATCCTTTACTATCAAGGTCCAGATATTTGGTTTGGGAATGGCTGCTTTACCTGTTGGGCATTCATATATAGGGATTTTGATATTTGTATAGTCAACTAATTTTCATTGAAAATTGTTGTATAGCCCACTGGATTATAAAATTCGGAATGTTGGCAATATTCACTATCCGGTCCTGATTCATTACCACAATCTGATGTTGCTTTCCATTGATCTCCATCGTAGTAAGAAAAATTTCCAACACCATTAAAATCAAACATCGCGTGATCATTTCTATTTGTCAATATATAATTTCTGGATAAACATCGTTCGGAATATTTTCAGAGAAACTTGTATTTCTTTCTCCTGTAATTGCTAATGGGTTATACCAAATAATTGGTTTGAATCCTGTATGTGAAACATCATAAAATCCTGTATCTCTAAAATTGCAAGTGAAACATCGGATAATCTGTATAAAGATGAATTGCTTGTTTCTAATATTATTCCTGTCAGCATATCTGTGTAATATCTTCTGAATTCTGGATGAGATTTCTGAATTCCTTCGGAGTTATCAAGTTCGATTCCTGACTGGCAATTTCCAACTTTTTCGTAACCATAATGGATAAGTGCGAATTTATGGGCATTTGGAGTTATCAGATAAGTAGATTGATAATCATGGACATTAGCAACGCATGTTATGTTTTCATGAGGTGTATTTAAATCTATAAAAATAACAACAAAAATTGAGAGCGTAATAAAATCAATTTTCCCAATTGATATCGATGATATATTCTATAGCTTGACCGCATACAGGACATATATTGTTACACGTTTTCCAACAATTTCTGCACATTACGTGGCCGCATGATGGGTAAAATACGGGTTCTAAGAGACATTCCTTACAATTCTTAGGAGATTTGATTCTTTCTCTTGTTTCATTATAAAGACGGGTTTCAATTATTAGATTTTCTGTTTGTCGCTTAATTCGGTTAAAATTATCCACTTTTTCTTGGATTTTATCTTTTAGATGGTCGATTTTGCAGTTCATCTGTATCAAACTTGGCATTTCAGCGGAAATCATGTAAACTGCGTGTTCAGAAAATAAATTTTTATCTAATAATGGAATATTTGAGAGAGCCATGTCGAAATTGGACAAAGCAATTGATATATCATGGCAATACGTTCTTGTTGTGTTCAATTGATTTACATATTTCGATGTTATATTAATAAACTCATTTTCTCCTTTTATTTGACGTGTTTCACTGTTTCCTCTTAGTTCATTGTCCAATTTCGAATTAATAATCATTAATTCATGATTAAAATTTTGAATTTTTTGAATACAATCTTTGAGAACTTCAAAATGTTCCTCAATTGATAAATTAGGATCTTCTAATGCATCTAAATTCATTTCTGGTGCAAGGAAAGAAAATTTTTCAAGATAATGAAATTGAATTTTTGTTTTTAACTCTTCTAATGATAAATTCTTCAAATATTCATATGCTTCTGCAAAATGAGCAAGAATTTCATCTGCTTCATGAGTTATTGTCTCTGATAATTCTTTTGATAAATATTTTAATTCATCTATTGGTTTTTCAAGCTGAAGAGCATCATTTACGTAGTTTCTAAGTGTAGGTTTAAACATGGAACATAATTTTGAATGGATTTCAGTCAAACGAATGAATAAATCGAAATTTTTCAAAATTACTGGAGAAGGATAGATTCTTTCCATTTCCTGTATCTCGTAATTACTTATAAGAGTACATAATGATTGTAGACATAGTTTTTGGGCGTCATATAAGCTCGCTAATCGAAAAATAAGATTTAAAGTAATTGAATCGAAAAGAGAAGAGTTGATTAGTGTAGAATCTTCAAAATTGGATGCAATTAGCTTTTGATGTAGTATTTTTCGAATAAATAAAGTATTATTGCCATTATTTTTGAAATTTCCAAATGAATGATAAAAATAGAGCAATTCTTGCAAATTTTGTATTAATAACTTGATTTCACTAATTTCATCCTTATTTTCTTGAGGAATAATAGAATTTTGAATGTAATCTGAAATAATGTCTAAAAATTCTTCATTTGAAGATAGTTTTCTAAGCTTATCGTTATATCCTTCTGTTTTTGCAATCCTTGATTTAAATTCTTTAATGATACTATTGATTTCAACAAGAAATTGTTGAAATGTACTGTAAAAATTATTAAATTGCTTTACATTTTTGTTAAAAAATATAGATATGTCATTTAATCCATTATGTTGATATTGTAAACCCTCAAGAAGAGGCTTTCTCCAATCTTCTATATCATCAGGTTCCAACATTATTAAATTTCAGGGGGAAATACGTGAATAACCCCAAAATAAATGGATGAAAGGAATTTCATTAACTAGGAATTAACAATCATTAACCACACAGTTATTTAAGGTAGAATTTTAAGATATATTGAGATTTCGGCTTAATTATTTTTGAATTCTCATACCCTATATTTCCAACTCTTGGAAAATTTTCATGACCCCCTACCCAGGGTCCTAAAATGGGTATTTTCCTCACACAGACACCGTGGTTTTTTGAGCCGGGAAATAAATAGCGCAGACAGTTTCTACATATAGAGACATGCTTATACTTAGAGTTGGACGGGAATCTAAAGTGATTTTTTTCTGCATCGCGAAATCTAATGCAATCTCAAAATCATGAAGAAACTGCGAATCGGAGCGCAATTTTTTAATATGTTAATATATAAAGGTACCCCTACTACTGCAAATGCTTCAAATGAAAATCTAAGAAATCAGATTAATTTGATCACATTAGTATAGTATTGGTCAAACCAAAAACTCATATGTTGATATATAGCCTATGGATATTCATATTATCTACTTTTCATTGAATTACATAAGATTTAATAATCTCATAAATATTCTTTTTAATTTTCCGAATTCCGTGTGCATTTAGATTGCCCATACCTGTATATAATAATTCTAGAATGGTTTGGTTAGATATTAAGTTTTTTAGATTAATATTTTAACATTTTGATAAAACAAGCATTTGTTCCATTTTAGAATCGCCATTGAACTCTGGTTTGACTAACATGATGTTGTATGATCAAATAAATTCTAACTTCATGAGATAAATTTTGAAATTAGAAAATGCGATATCTGACTCAAATATTTATATGAACACATTTAACATTCAATGATAAACTAAAGTACTATACAGCAGATTCGATTTGGCTTATATTTTATATAATCAACTAATAATCCTATAAAATTGTGCTATTCACGTTGCTCAAAGATGTATTGAACATTCCCTACTTGTGTATTGATAAAATTAGATATAGATTCTAATGTAAATCGATATTTTGAAAATTCATATATATTTTGTCTTGGTTTGGCATTTGATCGTGTTGAAACCGGAATTGCAATATATATCATCTAAATATATAACTATCAAAATATGAGCTATAGATTTTTAAATTATTCTCCTGAATATGAGTGACTAACATAATTATATTGAATTGAGTAGTAAGAATCATAAATATTAGAATCTGACGATAATTTATTTATAACTGTATAAAGGAACAACTATAAATGATGATGAAAATAAAAGATTAAATTTAAATCTGAAAATTTGAAAACATTAAGTGTATTGTGCACTCTTGTCGGTCACAGTGTCTCATTCCGGGAGACATTGTCACTGCATGTCTCCCAGAATGATATCAAGTTCCCCATTCATAACTTGAATGCGGAACTTTGACCGACAAGAGTGTATTGTGCACTCTTGTCGGTTGAAAGTTCTGCAATCAGAAGAAGATTGTTGAACAATCCGCCATTCCAGGAGGCATGAGCTTGTTATCTCTCCTGAAATGGCACATATTTGATAATTCATGGAGCATAACTTTGCACGCAATCAGACAAAAGATTGCGACAGAGTAACTGGGAAGACAGCAACTTGAAGCGATAAGCTGCTTGGGTGCTGTCTCCCAGATGCATCTGTCGGGCAAAGTCTCAAAGGAGCAGAACTTTGCACGCAATCAGACAAAAGATTGCGACAGAGTAACTGGGAAGACAGCAACTTGAAGCGAAGTTTTGTTTTCGAGTCTTTGGTTAAGAAATCTTAACAAAAAAACAAAGAAAAAAATCAGATAAAGTTGTCAATAACTTCATCAGTTAATGCTCACCTATGGGAGGTGTTTTGCGGGAGCTGGGGGTATCTTGGTGAGTACTCAGGAGGCCAAGAAGGGCACCCCAACCGACATTATCCTGATGAATTCAGTTGTCAACCATTCTGAAAACCGCCGAAACCGTCGTGTGTAGAGAAATTGTTTAAATTTATTTTTTTCAGATTTAAATAAAAATAAGAAATGTTTACTATTATGGATTTTGAAATTTTTTTAAATTAAGAGTAGGAAATGAGACAAATTTAAATTTTTAAGAAATATTTGGAAGGGCGTAAGATACGCCAACTTAAATAAAAAAAAAAAAAAAAAGGTAGTGGGGCTTCCAGGCACTTCGTGCCCTCTAGCCCTGAAGATGTTTAGTATAACTTTGTCCGGACAAGTAAGGGTCTATCGTCGCTACAGGAAAAGTTACAGGCGTTCCAAGGAAGTATACTTTGAGAAGCCTTTTCCCCTTATAGAATGAGATAGGACGGTTATTTTACAAAACCGACAACACTTTGACCGAGTAGTTTTTTGTGCTGAACAAAAAGTGTCATATAAACATCTGTCAAAAACCGCTTTTTAACTTCACTTAAAATGCCACGTAAGCTACGTAAGAATATACGTAAGAGGAAGAGAGCATTGAAACATCCAATAGTAAAACTGACACCACAACAACAATTGCAACAACAAATGATGAATGACCCCACTATGTTGCAACAAATGTCAAGCAACCCTATGCTTTTAAACCGAGTTATTGGTGCACAGAGTGGAGGTTTAAGAGCGGCACTTTTAGCGAAAATGGCAGGCTATGGTGGAGCTGCAGACGGAACAGCCTATAACCCTCAAAGTCAAATGAATTTGAGTTCACTCAAAAATCAAATAGCAGATGTCAAAAAGTCAAACATAGACATACAGAAGCAAATAAGTGAAAACGAAAAGAAACTAGAATATGACAGACACACAAAGAAACTCAATGAGTTAAACGTAGAGAAAAAGAAGAAAGAAGAACAACTGAAAGAACTAAGTACAGAGGAATATGCGAAAAAAGTGTCAGAAAAAGCAGCAGAAGTAGCAAAAATGGAACAAGATGTCATAAATTTGAAAACCATACTACTCAATATAAAGTACTGAAAGATGAAGAGATAAAACAAAAAGCCCTGAAGACATATATGGATAGCGATGAGTATAAAAAAGAAGTTGAAGCAAATGTAAAGGCAGAAAAACTTTTACAGTTGCAAAACCAAACCGTACAGTATGAAAACTTAGCACAGAAAAGTAAAATAACGACGCAGCCATGCAAAAGGCAATGAAAAGCGCAGAATATATAAAAGCTAACAATGACTGGTTAGATGCCCAAGCCAACGCTAAAGCAGCCAGCTTATAGGGTCAATAAGGACAAAAATACAAGCGGATGAAGACAGTTCAAATGAAGCTTTAACAAATGCTGACTTTAAGAACGCCTTCGAAGCTCTTCATAGTAAGGTGAAAACAGTGAACGACTCTCATCTGGAAAGAAACTGAAGTCTGAAGGTTTCGACAACGAGTTAAGAGAAGTAGCACAAAATATGACGAAAATAACAGATGCAGCAACGAGACAGGCAGTTCAAAGTGCCTATGACGCCGTTAGAGCAACTGTTGTGGAAAGTCAAGAAAAAGAGTTACAACAGACCAAAACAGACCTAGTAAATGCTTTCTTAAAAACGAAAAGTCAGGTAGGACACTATGCTGCAGATGGCGAATATGTGCCAGCTTTGGAACTTTATACCAGCTGGTGGAACTTATATACTAGCTAGTGGAACTTATATACCACCAAACCCTCCAAGAGAAGCACCTGCACCAGGACTACCTAAAACATTTACATCGTCACATGGACACAGACACAGGCATGCACCAAAACCAACACAACAACCAACAGTTCAAAATCCAGCACCACAACAACAACCAGCACAACAACCACCTCCACAACCAGCACCACAACCAACAGTTCAAAACACTGCACCACAACAACCACAAACAGAGCAAGGACATAAAAGAAGTAGAGAACAAGGAAACCAAGATTTCTTAAAAATGCTTAAGAAGACTATGGTTACCCAGATACTCTTGACTTTAGTGACAGATATAAAGAAGCTATTAGAAAGTTCAAGGAAGGAAATACTGACCCGAACCTATTTAGCTTTAGGTCAGCACCAAATGGGATATAATTTCAAACCTGGAAAATACAAGCTCGCTAAGGGATATGATTTAATAGCATATCATCCATGACATGACTGAATTTACTCCGAGATATTTGGTGTCAGAGCTAAATGACAATTCACTCTCTTCATGAAACGCGTAAAAAAATAAGACGGAACGAAAGAAGAAAGGTTTATGAGTCCGGATGACTTAGATAGGGAACTTGTTAAAAACGGTCTCGGAATATATGAAATGCCAGCAGATGAGGTACAAGAACTCCACAGGAAAGAGTTCAGATACAACCAGACATGGAAGAAATAGTTCGCAACAACAGCTAGAAGAGCCTGAAGGAAACGAACAAGTCCCTCCTTTGGAAACTAACTTCACAGAACTAGATGAAGATTTGGAACAGCCGAAAAATCTTGACCCTCAACAAGAGTATGAGGTGAATATGGAATCTTTCCAAGAGTCTAAGAAAATTCGGCTGACATGGTAGAAGAATATCGAAAAATGTTTGCCGACATACAAAAGACTCCAACATCAGATGAAAATATTCAGCATAGAATGGAAGAACTGAAAGAAAATGTACACAAATACAACAACCCTTTTTACTTACGACATATAACGTTCAATCTTTGGATGAACTCGGTGAAAATAAAAGGTTAAATTTCAACAAAACATATAGAAATGAAACATTGTTTAAAGTTCATTCAGAACCTAGCCAATATGGAAACAAACCTACTTTTGTTTCTGCAGACTATGGAACTACAATGAGATGGGTCATAAAGCTAACCCGGATAGGTGGTTCATAAACTTACAACCACAATTCCAAGAAGTTGTAGACGCAATGGAAGTGAATGGTGAACCAGATATAGCTGGTATTTTCAGCGCGGCTTTAATGCCATTGAAAGATATGAAAGATGCAGATATTTTGGACCAGTATGAAATGAACATGGCTGATGGAAATATAACACCTGCGTTCTAGAACATTTATCTCAAAGAACTACACAGAACCATAGAGATGGTATATTTGGTGAAGAGTTTAGAAAGAAAGTTAGGGAGAGCGAAGGAAGAGAACCTATTGTACATGACCTTGCAAACGAAAGTTTACAAAATGTCATAAAAACTTACTTTGCAGACAATGAAATGAGAAGGGATGAATATTTAAGAAAACTCAAATGGACAGTACCAAATGAAATGTTAGTATTGAAAAACATGTTCCTTGACAAAATAAAACCAACTACAGAAATAAATGACGCAAGACTGAAACATTGGGTAAAAGCTTTCCCATTCACAAAAGATATTGTGGTAACATGGAAAGAAAACCAGAATGGCTACAAAAACATATATTTGGAAACGAGCTTATTCATATGGACAAGCTCTGTTTGAAGAGCTTAACCGGAAACTATTCAAATACACCTCATGAAAACATAACATGCGTTGCTAATGTCCATGATTATCAATCTACTTATCTGATAACTCCAAATGCCCATAAATTCGCACTTATCCATTATGGTTACGAAAAAGTTGGAAATTGCCAGTCAGGAATCGAACTTGATAACTCCGAAGGAATTCAGAAATCTCATCCAGAATTCAGAAGATATTACACAGATATGCTGACAGGAATAATATTAGAAACAAGCAATTCATCTTTATACAGATTATCCGATGTTTCACTTGCAATTTTGAGAGATACAGGATTTTATGATGTTTCACATACAGGATTCAAACCAATTATTTGGTATAACCCATTAGCAATTACAGGAGAAAGAAATACAAGTTTCTCTGAAAATATTCCGAACGATGTTTATCCAGAAAATTATATATTGACAAATAGAAATGATCACGCGATGTTTGATTTTAATGGTGTTGGAAATTTTTCTTACTACGATGGAGATCAATGGAAAGCAACATCAGATTGTGGTAATGAATCAGGACCGGATAGTGAATATTGCCAACATTCCGAATTTTATAATCCAGTGGGCTATACAACAATTTTCAATGAAAAATTAGTTGACTATACAAATATCAAAATCCCTATATATGAATGCCCAACAGGTAAAGCAGCCATTCCAACAACCAAATATCTGGACCTTGATAGTAAAGGATTATGTGGAAATTATTCATGTACAGATGATAATTCTCAATTTACCTTCAATGCTTCAGATGGCAAACAAATCACATGCAAAACTGGAGATAATCATTCATTAATAGTTCATTCATATCAGCATTCAGTTGGTGGTACAACCTTCAAATATGATTATTTTTGCCCAGATCCAAAGCAATTCTGTTTAACAAGGAAACTTTTAGGTCAAAGTAGTTTTGATACTGATCCATTCGCATCAAATCCTCCTCCAATTCCTCGGCCATCTCCATCTCCAAAAGGAGGCGGTGAATCTAACTCCGGAGGTGGAGGCGATACCTCTCCAAATTCCAAAAGTTTTAATTGGCAGTTATTCGTTATAATTATGATAATTCTTGATGTAGTTGTATTCGTTATAGGAATAATTGCATTAGCAATATTGTATAGAAAGAAGAAAGATGAAAAGGCTGAAGAAGAAGATTCTTATAGCGAGTATATGTACTCAAGTGATTCAATCTAAACATCCTCCTAAAAACTTAAATACATTCGAACAATCTGCTAATTACTCAGTGAAATAAAATCCAAATCTTTGTATGAAATCTCAATATATTTTTTAAATGAATATAATTGAACAAAGATAAGGATGTCAATTCGGAAAATTGTTTTCGATTTAGGAGAATATAATTTTCCATTTGGAAAATTTAAAAAGTGAGACGCGCAGGATTCGAACTTTTTTAAAAGTTGATTTAAATATATTCTGGTGTGGAATCTAAGGATAATATCATATTTAAAATAAGAATATACGAGTTTAGGTAGTATTATTTTTTTCGATAAATTTGAGAGTATGTACGTTTAGGGCATCAAAAGTGTCAATTCGCTCAGCGAAAGCTGAGCTAGTTTCGTTCTCGAAAAAATAGGGAAGAAGTGAAGGAGAGTGATACAGATGTTGACACATTCATATAATTTCAACAAATTTGATCAAATTGAAATTCAATGAAATTCAATTCACTTCATATCCTTCAGTCAGTACATTGACATCCTTCTACATCACAATGATAACTCGGGAATCAATAGTTCTACAACTAACTCAGAAAAAAAAACAAGATTTTTACTTCCAGCTTGCAGCTTTTAAAAAGTTTCGATGATAAAAATCACTCTACTCTTGTTTATAGATATGTGATGATAGTAGGTAAACATATTCTTATCGATATTAATAAAAATATTTTACGAAAATCTGAACCAATTACAGAGTTATTCATAAAGTTTATGATAACTGTAATTATTTCATCTTTGTTTTATATTTGAATAAACAATTTAATTTAAATTGCATAATATTTTTTGGTTGAAAGACAGGAAACTTAGTTGAGTTTGTATTATTTTTATCGTTTAATTCATCGTATCAGTGAGTGATCCAGATATTTAAGATATTTAGAAAAAAATTATTAATTTGATTAACAAATTTTAATCAAAATAGCAAAAATCTATTTGATAGCTGTAAACAAACAATAATTTTTATTTCAAGCAAAATCACTTATTTTCATCTAAACGTATAAAATTGTCAATTTTATAAAAATAAATTGAAAATCTCAAGAAATGTAAAGGAGAGTAATATTTTTCAATTTTCTTTTTTTCTTTGTCTCAAATATTTTCTGTTGGGAATTTTCTTGTTATCAAAAAATAATTTTAATATTTGTTTATTTTATTACATACAATAAAATTTTAAAAACTCTATTTCTTCTCAAGAAAATTTTTTTCCTTCATATGAAGAAACATTTTGTTCTCCATTTGATGCTGAGTCTAAATCTCGATTTTTGAATTTTCTTCTTTCCAAATTTCTTTTTTCCAAATTAGAAGTTTAATTCAAATTTTCAATAGTTTATATATTTTCTCAAACCGTCTTAGATTTTCTCACTTTTTAGGGATTTTCTCTCAAAATATACAAAAATAGTAATACCAATACATGTGTCTAATATACTTTAAAACCATCGTGATAAAATTCAAAAACGAAGAGTTCTTCTCTCCAAATTTTTTTCAAAATCAAAAAAATGAGATAAAAAAGTACGTTTGGAAAATTCATTTTTAGCATTTTAGGAATTTTCTCACTTTTCTTCCAAATTGACATCCTTATTCAAAATCAAAAAAATGAGATAAAAAAGTACGTTTGGAAAATTCATTTTTAGCATTTTAGGAATTTTCTCACTTTTCTTCCAAATTGACATCCTTATTCAAAATCAAAAAAATGAGATAAAAAAGTACGTTTGGAAAATTCATTTTTAGCATTTTAGGAATTTTCTCACTTTTCTTCCAAATTGACATCCTTATTCAAAATCAAAAAAATGAGATAAAAAAGTACGTTTGGAAAATTCATTTTTAGCATTTTAGGAATTTTCTCACTTTTCTTCCAAATTGACATCCTTAACAAAGATAGTATATTATCAGCCAAACACATATATCAAGTCATTTAAAACAAAAATATAATTTTTAAAATTTTATTCAAAATTAATTCATTTTAAATCCTAACAAAGATAATATTTTCAGAAGATTATGAAATATGATGATAAATGATACTTAGTTCTAAATGAGAGACATTTTATTTCATGAATATAGAATTTATGACATTAGCTAATATGAAATCCTCATTACACCAACAATCATTAGGCAATATAAGTTATTAGTGCTAATTTCTTAACACCCATATTAAGTATTATTGAATTTAGTTGATAACAATGGCTTAATTAAACTTGTTTTAGTTTAAACGAGATCAAAATGCCACAAATATCAACCATACTGATTAATCAAGTAAGATCAGGTCTTTGGGAAGCGGATGACGAAGATTTTGGTAATAATGTCACTTTTATCGTCAATAAATTTTACAGAGATGACCTTTGCCGGATTTATGCGATATTTGCTTGGGTCAATTATCACCCTTTCTGTACTCACTGGCTATATTGGTGCCATTGGATACGGAATTTACTGGTGGAATAGAATTTACATCGATTTTCCGTATTTTGGTGGCGAATATCTCAAGTTTTTCGTTTATCTTACTCTTACATGGGGCATCCCAGGACTTTTCATCCTTTTACTTTTGATTTCAGTCATTTTTGATTGCTGCAAGGAAGGAAATCTCATCTCTTCATTCGCTTCAGGAATTTCTATCATTTGTTTGATTGCCGGACTTCTTGGTGTCACACCATTCTTCGTATCACGCTCTACAAAACACAGAAGTAACATGATTTGGAATTCTCCAAGAAATCAACTACCTTCTAATATTCAAGAAAAACTTAATAATTGGATCAACAAACAAACAGCTGGCATGTCAGAAGCCGATAAACAAAAATTCATTACAAAATTTGACACGGTAGAGTATAGAATCAATGAGCCACGCGAGATTTTCTTATATTTCGTTTACTTACAGCTTGGATCTGCAGTTTTAGAGATCTTCTTAGTCATTTTCGAGACTTGCAAATAAAACTGTTTTATTCTATGAATATTTTTACATTTCCATCAGATATTAGCAAATTACTTTGATTGTAAACAATTTCTATACATTTTGGATATCTTTATCTAAGATTTTTCTTTGAATTTGTCTTTTGAATATAAATATTTATTGAGATGTCTTCATTAGAGGCTAATATTATTGAGAGTTAAGCAATTCTTCATCCTCAGTCTTCTTCAAGGAGAAAATAAATTGTAAATTGTAATTGTAGACTTAAAATCACTGATTGCAACGCAACAAATTTGAGATGGTTTGATAAATATCACAAATACATGCTAAGTATCATGCATTGTAATCACTCTCAAATTCCGAGTCCTTCGAGTCAAAATCCATTGAATTCGTCTTCTAGAAAATGATTATAATAAGTATCACAATCCAAATTATATGTTAATCATATAAATTTTACCATAATGAAAAAGGGTGACCAACACCCACACTATAAAATAGTTCTCTTAGGACCTGCGCGTGTAGGTAAAACATCTATAATTCAAAGATATGTCAATGATCAATTCAATATTAATACAATTTCAACAACTCAGACTGCATTTTTTCAAAAAGAATTAAATGTCGATAATCAAATTATTGTTCTTGATATTTGGGATACTGCTGGCCAAGAAAGATATCATTCAATCATTCCTATGTATTATAGAGACGCCGATGGAATATTAATAGTTTTTGATTTGCTAGATGTAACTTCTTTTTCAAAAGCAAAGTTCTGGATGAACGAGCTCAAGAATAATCTTGTAGTTAAAGATACTCCAATTATATTAGTCGGAAATAAACATGATCTTCAATCTTTACGAGTTGTAGACCCACAAGACATTACTAACTTTACACAAATAGAAAATTTAGAGTATTTTGATACAAGTGCGAAAACGGGATTTTTCATTGAAGAAATTTTCAAAAAAATCGGCATGAAAGCAATGCAAATGCGCTCAATACATAAGCAAAAGGAAAATCCAATGTGCGAGAAGAAGAATCGATCATGCTGCTAATTTATTGTTTTATATTTTTTTATCGTTTTATTGTTATAAACTTCTATCCATTAAATAAGCGTTTTTGTTTGTTTCTAACTTATATTTGATATTTTTCATAGATAAAAACAACGAGAATTTTGGAAATAGATTTTTTAATTTGAAAAACAATACTTAGGAATTGTAACATTTAAGTTCCACGTATAAACATTTAAACTCTATAAAATTTGGACTCATAATTATCAATTTACAAACAAAAATTAAAATTATGTGCTCTTGAACCAATCATTCTTAAGAACTTCGCTTATTGATGGTCTCTTCTTTGGATCGTGCACAAAAATTGCTTGGAAAAGGCTCTTCAGCTCTTGAGAGATTGGAGGGTTGCGTTCCAAGTTAATTTCGGTATTAAGTATCTGCTGGGAAAGTTTTATATCCTGCTGAACAAAGTTGTCGTTTTCAAAATCAATGTCGTATGGAAGATGTCCGAATATCATAACATATAATGAAATTCCATACGACCAAACATCCGATTTCTTAGCATCGAATGGATCTGTAAGCTGTTCTTCGGGTGCTCTGAACGCAGGAGTACCTTGAGTGTCATCGACCAATTCATCTGAAGACGAGAGCTGCTTTGAAACAGAAAAGTCACATAGCATGACATTTCCGTCATCTTGTATAAGAACATTATCAGGCTTAATGTCACGATGGACGATATTATTATTATGTAAGTACTGAATACCTTCTGCAAGCTGTTTGAAGACATCTTTCGCATCCTTTTCGTCCATTATATTGGCTTCCCAGCATTTCGGAGAAAGCGGTCCTCGGCCAGCGTAAGGAACGATTAAATATATTTTATGTGTAACATCGTCTTTAATGAGTTCAATGATTTTGAGGCAGTTTTTGTGATTGATTGTTGATAAAATCTTGACTTCGCTGAAGAAGCGAGCTTCTCTTGGTTCTTCACCAAGTCTTCTTTGTAATAATTGAAACATAGAGTATGCTTTTGCTGCGTAAAGGGTATCTGTTTCTCTGTTTCTAATCAAAAATACTTTTGCAAAAGCACCTTGGCCGATCTCTTGAAGGATATCATACTCAAATAACTTGTTTGGATCTTGGTCATCGTCATCTTCTTCTTCATAGAACTCATATTCATCCTCTTCACATTGATCTTGGATGGCCTGGTCAGAATGGTTATTTCCTTCTGACATCGATAAAACAAAAAAGATTTTTTTTTCTCTCGTATCCAGAAATTACAGTCATTCAAAAATTCGGCATCTTGTTGATAACTCTGGATTCACATGAGTTGATATAACAGGAGTATACGAATATTTCATCTTTTTGACCTCTGAAGAGGATAATTTCAGTCAATTTATGTCATACTGTTAAATTAATAAAAATTTTTGTAATAGCTAGAATATATTTCATTCAAATAATGTATTTATCACGGAAAAACGCTGTGAAATCAATATTTGACAATAAATTTCCACATTTCTATACAAATTTGTTGCTTTTTATTAAAAAAGTATTAAAATTATCTTAGGAACTTTGAGATGAATAAAATTACATGTTCGTTAAGTGTATAATCATAGAAATTATTTTCACTTCAAAATCTTTGACTGTTTGATGCAATAAGCGCATGATTTTATTAATTTCTATCATCCATTAATTTGGTTTCTCCAGTCCATATGAACAAATTCATTTTGATTTTTCATTTCTTTTAATTCATTATATATATCAATTTTACAGTATATGGCATGATTACAATCCAATATTTATGACATTCTATTGATCAATTCTTCTTATATTATCAAATTTAGAAAAATCCGAAGATGAATTTTGAAAAAGGATTAAATAAATGATATTTCCATAGTTAAAATGTTTTTATATAATAAGAAACCAAAACAAAAATATACAAATAACATAACATAAACAAATAAATAATAAAAATTACAAATATGATTATAAAAAATCATATTGTATACTTCTTTCTTTTTCCTGCTATTAACTTTGGTGGTGGTAGATCTCCTAGTCTACGAGGCATTAAGTTTCCTTGACTTGTTCTATGATTAATTCCAGATCCGTGCATTGAAGGGCTTCCGATCTTCGGATCCATGATCTTTACTGGACTTAACACCTTCGATGAATTCGCTTGGAACGTATGTAATTGCAAATTCATTCCTGAATTGTTATTATTATTTTGCTGTTGTTGCTGAGCTTTCTTAAGGGCATTTTCATTACCTATGTAGCTCATTGCAATTTCTTTAAGCACTTTTTCTTTATGCTCTTCACTTTCTGCGTGAGCATTTAGAATTCTTTGCCAAGTATGGCCTCTTTCGATTTCTTTGACGACGCGTTCTGATTCTGCGTTCTTCATCTTGCCGCCAATGTCATCGAAAGCTGATGGATCGCCACCTTTCAGTAATCTTAAGACATATACAGCTAATGTGCAAACAGATTGGCACCAATGGTAGTTAGCTGTCTTAAATAAGGCAGGTAGTAATATTGGGAAGGTTGTCAATGAATAGGAAAGAATCAAATTTGCAAAATTTTCATTTTGCCACATCATCAATGCTCTTTCCGCAACTGCGAAGTTATCACTGCATGAGCAGCGACTGATGATTGTTGTCAAGTTATTTATTTGCTCAAGGGCTCCTTGTGTCGGGATATATTGAATAAGATTTTCAACTTCTGAGAGAAACAGGACTTCCTTCATAGGAGATGTAGAGGGCCAATGCCTGCGTAGATATGCAAGAAGTATAAACGATAACGTTGCTTGCTTATTGCAAAAAGTATTGACCACATTAAATAATTGACGTTGGAACTGAAGGGTCAATGGATCTCCATGGAGACGAGCAATTATTTCTTCGAAGAAATCGGTATATTCTTCATGTAGAGGTACTTTGAGACCACTTACGATGGAAAATGTAACAGTTAATAATTCGCTTACTCCGACAGCCAAACAAGCACCTTCCAAGTAGTCATTCAAGAAGCGGTAAACAGACTGACGCATTATAGATCGGTGCTTGCTGCAAACTCTGTAGAAACTGTGGAATAATTTCATTAGTTTGTCTCTTTCGCGGGAATCAGGGGAATGAAAGATTTCTACGATGGTTTTTGCTAATGTATTAACTTCCTTTGGACAATTCGTTGGATAAAATTTCGGACTCGTAATTAACGAATTCAAAATATCATAACAAAGGGCTAAATGTGGCCAAGCCGCTTCTTCAACCATTTCCTGACAAAGATCTGTATTAATTGGTGAAAACCAAATGATCGGTGCGGCTGGCGATGTTCGAATGACGTTTTTCATGAACATCTTGTAGATCGCGTGGTATTCAGCTTCTGTAAGTTGAGCGATGACATCCATGTTGCATATAGTCTTAAATATATCTTGAAGAATCTCTGTTTTCTGCTGTTTGTCTTCTTTCTGAATTTCAGGATCGTTGAAATTGCAAATTTGACAACACATATTGCATTTAGACATTAAAAGCTGATTTAATTTCGGCAATGGGGTATCTTCAAGTTTTGGCTCAACGGTGAACTTGATCGGGATATTTAAATCAAAGAATTGGGAAGAAACAGAGTGGAAATGCTGTATATTAGATCCAGTATCAGCTACTGGGATCTGAATCATTCTATGGGTTTTAATTAAAGCGATACCTTCGGTAGAGTCGACAGATTTTAGAGATCTACTGTCTTCGAACGACAAATTTTCTCCTTCAACTGGGGCAACTGGCCTTGGATTCTTGGAATTTAGCATTGGCTGTATAATTTTTGGCCCAGTCAACCTGGATAGACTTGTTCTGACTTGTTCCATCCAGGTTGATAAAAAATTAAAAGTGTAAAATACAATAGAAAAAAATTAGTTTCTCTCAAAAATGAATTCAAGAAGTTTTTATATAAGTATTCTTCATTTCATAATTCTGTATATAAAACTATCCTTTTTTTATCCATATTTCGCTGTGGAAATGTTGATTTGTTTTCAATAACGTTCTGTGTGTAATGAAGCGAGACCATAAAACGATATTATCTAACAATTACTCTTAAAATGTATATTCATTTTACATCATTTTTGGTAGATTGTAAAAGATATTGTTGAAAGAAATATCATACAAAATTAATACTATGGTGAATCTTAACTCTGCATAGCAATGCAATTGTTAGGATTTAAAGGCTCAATTATGAGAATTTGTTCTATTGAATATTTCATGTGTATGGGCAAATCAAGCAAAATGACACCTTAATGAACTCGATGAGGCATGCAATTGTTTTCGTTATTCGGCCATTTCTATTTTCCGCATTGTAAATGACATCAAAAATTCATATTGTAAGGTTTTCAAATTTTTTTGGGTCTAAATTTGATCAGAATTAAAATAAATACTCAATGCCATTAAAATATAACTGTCATCGGCAGATAAAAAAAAGTTAATTTTGAGAAGATGTGTCAGAAATGCTTCGATCTCTCCAACTTTCTTTTCGGCAACTCAGAGGAATCAATTTGTCGAATAGATTACATAAATTATGGGTGAAGTATTTTACTTTGCAGACTCCAGCAACTATTTCTACTTTGCAAAAGAATCATCCGTTAAATGGACATTATTCAAACTTTAATTTAAGTGATATCAATATGAAAGTATTATATACACAAGCAGATGCGATAGAAATGGACCCTGGCACAGCTCTTCCGCCATTATTAAACCTTGATCAGCCAATCTCACCACATTATTTTAAATTTGCGCAATATTTTATCACCGAGCAGAAAAATATCAAAGATAATCGCGTTATAGTTTTTGAAGCATCTGCACATTTGATGCGTGCATTCATCTGCTTTGTTTATCAGACAAAAGAAAAAATTGAAATGCTCAATCAAGGCAGAGATAGTGCATTCCTTCCTACTTCATTCGTAAATGATTTTCCATATTTAATACAAGTATTGATGTCATTACCATCCGAATATTTCTCAGACTTTTTATATATTTGGGCACAATATCAACAATATTTAATTCCGTTACTTCCAAAACTTGTTAAATTAGATAACAAACACTCATTTACGAAAGCATTAGCTGAAATTTTCGAAATTTTTAATAACTACCTATCAAATACACCAGAATACTTAACGGAATCAGCAGAATTGACATCATACGTTATTGCTTATTTTGATGCATCATTCAAATTCAATCCCGATTCTTCTTTTATTCTTGAAACTTTCAAATCTTTTTGCAATACTTTTTCAAAGAATCAAAACTTACGGAATATATTTCCAAAAGAAATACTCAAAAAATACTTAGAGCTAATTATTGCTATTTTCAACTCTATTGGCAAGTCTGATCCAAAATCCGACCACCAGAAGCATTTAAATCTTGTCAATACAATGTTTCAAGTCATTCAAGTTCTTACTCCTATTCCAAACGACCTACTTCCCGCTACAACAGGCAATTTTGGAATTATGACACCAATAATTGAATTTTTGGAATGGTGTTCACGCATAGAACTACAAACAGACATCATTCCTAAACCATGTCAACTAGATCCCGTGTATAAAACTATGAAATATCCATCAAATCCATTTACATTTCGTGAAGAAAGTTTAATTTCACCAATTTTACCAATTCCTAAATATGGAGAGAACGCAATGTCAACAATCCAGCCATTATATCTTGAGAAGTCACCAATATTAATATCAATTCTTCTCAAAGTTGCAACAATTTGCGGAAAATCAAATAAAGCACTTTCTGATTTCATTTGTGGAATTTCAAAGTTACTTGAATCAACGACATCACTTAAAATGCAATACATTTCCACAGTTGTTCTCTTTAGTTGCACGAACGCGAGTTCTTTTACACAAATCATGGATCAAACAGGTGCATGGTCATCATTTATCACAAAAACATTATTTAACAAGAACACAGTTCTGAATGATGAATCACCTCACATCATGCAACTGAAAGGAATGGTACAATCAATGATAACACGTTGTTTTCTTGCTAAAGTTAATGATTTCACAAAACTTATTTCAGCAATTGTCAATATTTTGACAGCAGATGATCCACACAACTTCAACGACATTATCATTTTCATGAACAAGATTGTTCAAGTCAATCCACCAGTTTTCATCAAATCACTATTGAAAACAGACTTAATTAATTGTTTGTTGAGTACATACTTCCAATACAGGGAACTTGCAGCACTTAATTTAAACGACAAAATCATTCGTGATTGTCGATCACAGATTGCTTCATTCATTTTCCAAATCATTGACAGTTACGAAGTGAAAGAATACATCTATCGAAATGACTCATTGATTGAAGAATTATTGATTTTTATTTTTGAGAAAGAGACATATGATAAAGGTTTATCTATTTTGCTGTCATGCTTAAGTACATTCAAAACACATCCATTGATGCGTCAATTGAATGTTATGCTTCGAACAGGTTTACAACAACCAATGAACTCTCGCTGGAAACAATTAATTTACGATTGTTTCGAAAAACTCACTGATGCAGTTCATTACAACGACGAAAGTATTGCTGCATTCTTCCCATCATCAGGCTGTTTGAACACATTTGGATTGATTCCATCCATTTATGCAGACAATGAATCTAAAGTTGATTCATACAAATTCGTTGTGAAAGTCTTGAATTTGTTCATTATTTTATTCAACAAATCACAAACATTTCAGATCAATTTCTCTAATCCTAATGCTAAAGTTCGTCAGAACATGGAGAAAGCACTTAACTACATCGACATTGATGAAACTGTTGTTAATTGTTTATTGAGTTTAACAACTAACTCAACCACTACACTGAAAACAGTTTCTAAATTTGCAGAGTTGACATGTGTTGATGGTTTAGCTCTTTTATACTTTGCCGTTGATGGCACTGTTTATCATCAACCAATCATTGATTTTCTTAGTGAAGTAACTGAGAATTCAATCTCAAATAGATACCAATGTTTCCGTTCTAACATCATTCAATCATTTTTGACATTGATTCCACACAACAACAATCCAACAACCATGAAATTATTTTCACAGATCGGTGCAAGCTATTTCCGAATGAACGAAGTCAGTTTAACCATCCGATTACTTAAAAATGTTGAAGAAGATTATGTTTTATCTCTTTTGAGTTCTATGAACAAGATGACTGAACTTTATGACAAAAGTATTCCACGTTCATTCTTCCATATTGGTTTAGAAGATCCAGTTTTCTCTATTCCTCCATTCCAGATCCAGAAGAAGTTCACATTTTCATGTGAAATCTTTTTAGAAGATGATTTCAACAAGAACATCAAGCGGACATCATTTACATTGCATCTCACATCTAAGAACGAACGTTTAGATTTAAGTATTGTTGAAGGTATTTTGTATTTAGACATCACATCTAAAGATAAGACTAAGAAGATCAAATTACTTGATAATCTTAAATATAATGTTTGGTTCCATCTTTTGATCACATTTGAACCTAAACACATCACAAGTTACATCAATTATTCACAAATCAATCGAAATGAACTTGAAGATCGATTCACATTTTCAGACAACATTGTTTACTTTTCTATCCGTGGTCAGAAAGTTAACATCGAAAACATCACTCTTTTCAACTCAAGTTTACCAAACTATTTAGTTAGTAAACTCAACGAACTTGATGACAAGACATTGAGTAAATGGCTTATTTTGTCTAAATATTCTGCCTCACAATTCAATGACAACAAGTGCATTAACTCAGTTACCGATGGCATTGTTTCAGCCAGTTTCAATGGATTAGTTGTTCCTTTCATGATCTCAACCGTTGAATCCATTCCAACATGTGGTGGTCCACGAATTATTTTACCATTGTTTACTCTTTTAGACAAGAACAAAAACCAACAAAAGTTCTTCTTGTCATTACTTCGTTTCACTAAAAACTTGGCAAGTAAGAATGAAAGTCTTTTTGTCAATCAACGTTTCTTCCGCTCATTAGGTCATATTTTGTTGAAAATGAACAAAGAATTTGTTACCGAACAAGCCATTGATGAATTATACGAAGTTTACAAACATTTACATCTTTTAATTCTCAAGAAAGAGATGATTCGATACATCTGGGGTGACTTTGCCATCTGGCATGACATGAGCTATGAATTGAAATTGTTCATGTTCACAGGTGTTTTCACCGGTCTTTTACAGATTGATCCACAAACATTCACCGATGTTATTCCATTCCGTGAATTTTTGACAAAATTCATCATTTTGTCGGAAGACGACAAAAGCAACGACTTGATCAAACGATGCTGGAATTTCCTGTTTTTACTTTCACAGTGTCGATTTGAGAGTGAAGATGCATTGAGTCTTTACTCATCAATCATCTCAGCATCCAACAACTTCATCACACTTGCATCTATTGAATTATTGCGAAACTTGTTGACCGAGAACTGCCAATCATTGATCGAATTTTTCAACGCCAACAACTTTTATCATGCATTTATCCAGTTGTTGAACAGTCAGTATGAATGCACACGTGTCTATGGTATCCATCTTTTGTATTACATCCACACCAAGCGCAAGATTTATAATTTGAGCAATTATGACTTGAGTGATGTTTTAATTCATGGTGTTCGTATGTTTATCCACATTGACCAAACCAATCTTTCATTATATATCACCCTTGGTGTTATGTATGGTTTATTAGACTTTGCACAAGCTCCACCTATGAATTATGAATTTGATTTCAACAAGAAAAGCATGAAACTTAAATATCCACAATTTCTTCCTATTTTAGAATGTTTGTTGCAACAAAGTGACAATTCAATGATTTCTAAGATTTCTAATTTATTGATCAATACATTTCTCAATGATGATGATAGTTGTTATGTTACATCAGAAATGAACTTATGGACATTTTGGTTGATTTTCTTTAGTTTCCGTGACAAGAAGTTTTCTGAATGGACTAAAGTTCTTTCTAAAGTATTTTCAATCAAATCCATTCATCATAAAGATTATGATCCAACACGAGATCTTACAAACATCGACATCTTCTGCCATAGTTCAAATCTCAACTCAACTAGTATCATTCGTAGTATGTTGATGGAATCTATTGAGAGTAGTAAATCACAGAAGATTGTTGATTATTCACTTAAATTTGTTTTCTTCGTTAACATTGATGATGACGACATGCTGACATTTCGTAAAGAGAAGACATTCAAACCACATGAATTTGACCTTCTTCAAACATTTGCCCAAAAGATCATTCTTCTTAATCCCGACTTTGACAAAGGAGATTTAATTTACACTCGACAAACTAATTCAGATCCATGGCCTGACTTTTACTTAGCCATTCGTATTGTTCGTACTATTTGTTCTATGGACAACAAGATCTTTAACTCACCATTCATCTCATATAACGAAATCCATATCAGTTATGCTACCATGTGTTCATTGTTGATTGTTTACATTTACGAACAATCACGGACGGATGCCGATCCACTTATTCCCGTTTTCTGCGAGAAATGCAAACACAGTCATAACAAAGAACAACTTGTTAATAGTTTATTCATTCTTTTAGACAAATACAGTTATTCATGTGAAGAATCTACAATCTTGCTTGATACATTACACTTTGTTGACAAATTCTATCAAGTTGCAACTATCGAAACATGCAACGACATCACGGAAGGTGTTGTCACAAACACTATCAACGACATCATGCGTACCATTGACATTTACAAGAAGAACAAGAGCAATTTCTATCATGATCAATATTCACAAGTCTGCTCTCTTATGGACTCATTCTTCAACGAACACCAAGGCGACCATTTCTTCTACGACATGAAACAAGTCTACCGTTCATCTATTGAATCTATTGCATCCGACAATGCACGTATCCTTCGTGGTAATGCCAAATTCTGGCGTGATGTCATGAAGAACATGAACGACCAAATTGGTGGTCCATGGGGATCCGATGAAGATAAGCGAGAACACTTCATGGCAGGTAATTACTTAGATCCAGTTGGTCGTCGCATCAACATGAAGATCAACTATCACTTCAATCTTCACTCAGATGCATCACTTCTACGCGACAATTCATTGGATGAAGCAAACAACCAAAAACAAATCTTTGTTCCACAATCACAAGAAAAAGACGAAACCGATGAACCGAACAACCGCATGAACACCGTCCAGATCGAGTGTCGTTTCATCACACTTGCCGTCAACTACACAGGCACACTGTTTCTTGGCAACAACTTAGTTGCATTCGAATCATCATCTGCAGTTAGTTCTATTGGTATGGAATCACTTAATAAGATGAAAATCATTGAAATCAATTTAGATCAAATCTCATTTATTCTTAAGCGTCGATACCAACACATCGACAACTCAGTTGAAGTTTTCACTACATCACATCGTAGTTATTTCTTCTTCTTCTATAATGACAGCGCCCGAACTAACTTCATGAAACAAATCAAACAGATGAAACCAGTTAATTGTCGTTTCATCCAATTCAAAGACTCCATGAAGTTCTACCACGAGCTTTCACTTTTCAAGAAATGGAGCAACGGCGACATCAGCAACTACGAGTACCTTTACTGGCTTAACATTCTTTCAGGTCGTTCATTCCACGATCTTGCACAATACCCAGTTTTTCCATGGGTTATTCAAGATTACAAGAGCGAACACATTGACTTGAATGATGAACGAATCTACCGTGATCTTAGTTTACCAATTGGTGCATTGAACAAAGAGCGCTTAGAAAATCTCGATTTCCTTTACAAAGAGACAAAAGGCACTCCAATGGCAGCATTATATCGTTTCCACTATTCTACCGCCGCATATGTCATTGGTTACTTGATCCGTATTGAACCATTCACATCATTGCATATTGACTTACAGAGTGGTAAGTTCGACTATGCTAACCGTCTTTTCTATTCACTTGACGAATCATGGAGTTCATGTGTTTCTAAGAACGCCGACTTCCGAGAACTTATTCCCGAGTTGTTCACATTTCCGGATTGTTTACTTAACAGCAACAAATTCGACCTTGGCACTCTTCAAGATGGTGGTCGTGTTGATGATGTTGTTTTGCCAGCATGGTCTAAATGTGCATCATATTTTGTTGCCATCAACCGCCTGGCACTTGAATCATCATATGTTTCAACTAATCTTCACAAGTGGATTGATTTAGTATTTGGTTATGAGAGTCGCGGTTTGAATGCAGAAAAAGCACATAACAACTTCCATCCATACTCATATTCATCCAGTATCACAAGTGAAGTTCTTTCAGATCCATCACAGTTATCATTCATCCAATCACATGCAGCTAACTGTGGTGTTGTTCCCGACCAGTTATTCCAACAACCTCATCAACAACGACGATTCATTCCACGAATCTCAAAACTGTCTATTTCACACAAAACATTTTTGTTTGAAAGTAAGAAACTATGCACGACAGAACCATCTATTTTACGATTCTCTCCACTTAAAGATACTATCTGGGTTCTTACCAAGTTCGGTGACATCACACAATACATGGTTCCCGAAATGACTGTTTTACAATCTATGAAAGTTTCACTCACCGTTCCATCGGATATTGCTCGTTTGAGTTTCTTCGAGAAACACTTAGTTTTCCGCTCTAACTGCATGTTCTTCTCCACTCCATTCTCAACAACATGCCGATACATCGACATCATTGATAAGCGTTGCAAAGAAGTCAACACATTCACTGCACACTCAGTTGCAGTTACATCTGTTTCTATGGACAACTACAACGGTGATATTCTTGCTGCCACATCTGCAGGTGATTCATCACTTATTGTTTGGAACTTGAACAAGTTTGTTGAGAAGTGTCGTATTGTTGCCCACACATCACCCATTGTCGGTGTTGACATCAACATCTGCAGTGACATTGTTTGCAGCATTGATTATAATGGCACTATTGTTTTGAGTTCAGTTACTAATGGTTCATTCTTACACAGTTATCATTTGAGTGAAACACCATCATTTGTCAAGATCTCACCATTAGGTTTTGTTGTTATTGTTTTCCATCTTCACAACGAGAGTGGTGATTCCACTAAACTTATGGTTTTTGACTTTGGTCTTCGTAAAGTCTCCGAAAAAATCTTTGAAGGTAAATCAACATCATTTTGCATGATTGAGTTGAAAGACTGCAGTTCATATTTTGCTATTTCATTTGACACGAAATATCTTTACATCTTGAACATCTTCGACTTAGATGTTCGATGCAAAGGTCCTGTTATTGACAATGTCACTGAACTTGAATACTCTAAAGACGACGAACGCTTATTTGTTTTACTTCGTAATGGTGACATTTACAAATTCGAATTATTTGAATAACATTCTTTTATATATTATTAAATAAATAATTATTCTTTCCAAATATCTTTATATTATATGATCCTATTCAATATCGCAAAGAATTCACTTATCATTCTAATTCATAAATGAACGCTGGTTTATATGGTTTTAAGGGTGCACAAGGAGGATTACGGTTTTTTAATCCTCCTTTTTTTCGAAAAAAAATCCTTGTACTTTGGGTACTTCGAAACATGAAAAAAAGCGAAAAAACGAACATTAGTCCAAACACATTCATTAAGTGCTTGCTTCCCTTTCATTCACAGCTTCTAAATTCAAAATTTATACCAAATTAAAATTATTATTTCGAATTTACAGTAATTAATTTCAAACAGATCAGTTATTTCATACACACTACGTTCAGTTATTGTAAATTTCAAACCCACATTATGATTTTCGTTTTATTAATTGCGAAATTTCAAACAATTGTCTCCTACCTGTTTTGTTATATGATTTATATTCAAATATTACTAGATTGTTGTGTTACTAAACAAATAACTTTTAATTACTTTTTTATTTATTTTTTTTTATTCATTGGAAGAATGAAGATTTACCTTCCTCAATTTATGTACAAATTCATAATTTGAGGATTTTATGAGTTTTAGGAGAATTTGGCAGAAATAAGAAATATTATTTCAAATCCATCAATTTTTGCCAAAAATAATATAGAATATCTAATACATGCCATTTATATAATCTATCATATGATTTTGAAGACTAAATCTCCACTTTTTAAAATTTTTTATCCTCCGAGTGCAGGTCATGGTTTTTTTGGGCCTTTTTTAGGTCCTTGAAAAACGAGTTTTTTCGAAAATAATTTGTATAAATAGCATCATCATATATGTACCAATGATATGGTAAAAAGAAAAATTATAATTCTCGGTCAAAATACAGAGAAAAATAAACATGCTAAAATTTTTTCGAAAAAATAGTTTTTCGAGTGTTTTTCTAAATCCCTTAAGGAGTTGAGACTGAACCTCGAAAATTATATATGATATGAAGCTACCTTATGTGATTCTAAATGATGTATATTAATCAAAAAAATCTATTTCTGAAAAGAAAAAAATAAGTTTTTATTATTTTGGAGGATTAGCAAATTGATAGAACTCTCTGAAAAAATTGAGGACTTTTTAATCCTCGTAGTGCACCCTTAAAATGGAAATACAATTCTCTCATGATTCATTTTATAAACATAGTTTGGAACTTTTTTCTTTGATCCTTGCGATCCCAAACTTTTTTAAGGGATAAATAAATAATAATAGTTCTCCTTTTATCTCCATTTTTGACGATTTTTCAATGGGTTTGACACTTTTTAGGGGCTTATAAAATAAGCCTGAAAAAAGTATCAGAACCTATTAAAATATTTTTTATCGGCTTGCAGTTTCTCAGAAAAAGAGAATCATATTTTGAATATGATCAGACAAAATTGAATGATGATAATTTTATTTATTTACTAAAACAATACAAAGAGAAGTAATGAAATGATATGAATAATGATAAATAATTTCATATTTTGTGATAATATTCTTCTTTATCACTAAATCTAAAATAGGATAATCAGTTTCACACAGATATGATGAAAAGTGAGAAAGATTATGAATAGAATATATATTTTGAACATTATATGTTGTAACTGATCCATATGTTTTATCTATTATTCTGTCACAGAAAGAATCTTTAACTGTAATTGAACCAAAAAATAGTTGATAAAATTCTTCTCCTGGTCCTGTGTTTCCAAGAAATGAACAGTTTTCAATAAGAACAGTTGATTCCCATGAAACAAATGTTCCCCATGTAGATACTTTGTGTTCATTATTCAAAACATTACAAAAATTAAAATTAAAATTACCAATAGATAATTGTACAATTAAATAATTTGATGTTGTGTTACAAAATGATGAATATGTTACGTTACTTAGACTTGTTGCATATTCAAGAAGTATTCCTGAGTCATAGTCTGCTTCACAGAAACTTGTGTTGATTGATTTAACTCCAATATTTCCAGAACGAAGACAATTTGTTCTCATATTTTCTAAATTTCCGCATTCATAAAAAGAACTTTCATAAAGATAATTTTTATTATTTGATCTGGATTCAACATATGAATGGTGTCCTTCTCGTGAGTTTGTTTTTGATTTATAGCCACATGTTCGGTATTGGACAATGGAACTATCACAATTAAAGTTGATAGATCCGCCATTTGTGTCACTGCTACAGTTATTAAATGAACAATCTGCGTTAAGAAACTTATTGTTTGCTTTAGAAAAAGAGATTGCACTATTAATGGAAATGGTGATGAAAAGACTTTCAAAGATGAAACACTCGTTTTCTGTGGCATTTGCTTTAACATTTGTTCCACTGATAGGGGTAGACTTTGGTGTAGTTTGGTAAAAGAATTCCCAAATATCATCAGAGGAAATATATGATTTTTATGAATATAAACAAAGACAAATCAATGAGGTTAAAAGTGACATTGACTAGTTATCACAGTCATATTTGTATTCCTCAGTTTTTTTCCATTGATAATTAACAATAAATACCACAAGAAATATACCTCATGCTTAAATATTTGATATCAAACCATAAATCATGAGTAAACAAAGAAAATCTTAACTTTCTAGAAAATCCAAGTTACTTTAATCAACATTTTATTTTAAAATGCAATATATTTCTACAATTGTAATTTTTTATTATACAAATACTAATATATTTCTATAAATTATTCACTAAAATCTTGAAAAACAAAAATTAAGTACTCAATGAAGAATAAAAGCATATGAATCTGCTGAAACCAAAGATATATATGTACTGTTTTATCTATCATTCATTTCATTAATGAAATCACCAAGAATTCCATCTCATATTGATACTAAAGAGATATATGCTTCTAACAGGGTTATCACCAACAAAACATTGATTTTCTTAGTGAAGTAACTGAGAATTCAATCTCAAATCGATACCAATGTTTCCGTTCTAACATCATTCAATCATTTTTGACATTGATTCCACACAACAACAATCCAACAACCATGAAATTATTTTCACAGATCGGTGCAAGCTATTTCCGAATGAACGAAGTCAGTTTAACCATCCGATTACTTAAAAATGTTGAAGAAGATTATGTTTTATCTCTTTTGAGTTCTATGAACAAGATGACCGAACTTTATGACAAAGGTATTCCACGTTCATTCTTCCACATTGGTTTAGAAGATCCAGTTTTCTCTATTCCTCCATTCCAGATCCAGAAGAAGTTCACATTTTCATGTGAAATCTTACATCAATTATTAATAAAATTATTTTTTATTTTCGTGCAAGTCCCAGTAGTATATTGGTTAGAATAGATCCTTGACACGGATCAGAGGCCAGTTCGATTCTGGCCTGGGACATTTTTTTACTAAATATTCTGAAAAATTTTGAATAAAAAAAATTTTAAATGACCGATGCTCTTTTAGAATGCATTTTTAGGAATGATGTTGATCAACTTATGAGGATAATCACTCCAGAGAATGCAAGCGAAGAAAAAGAAAAGAAATACAAAATTAAAATTTCAGATAGTTTCCTTTTATTTCCAAAAAGTGGACTAACCTTACTTCATATTGCAGCATATGCTAATTCAATGGAATGCTTTATATACCTTCATTCTAAATGTAACTTTCCTCTGGAAATTCAATCTCTTGATCTCAAAATGCCCTTTCATTATGCAGTAAATTCTGGAGCAGCCGATATTGTTATATACATTCTACACAATTATGAAGCAAGATATGGCCGAGAAAAGCTTATTCAAGATTTTTTCAAAAAAGATTACACAAATCAAGAACAGAAATACGGACCTACATCCTGTAGCATCATTTTTGCCGCTGCTACGTCGAAACAGCCTCAAGTTTTATCGGCTTTATTCAAATACGGCTTTGATTGCACAAAGTTTGCCAGTAAATGCAAATTCAAGCTTCAAGAAGCTTTGAGCACTGTTGTCAAAGCTCGAAACGTCGAATCTCTTAAAATTCTTTTGAAGAATATCCAGCCATCTACATATAAGGACGAAAAATCCTTATTACTTGCTGCTATTGACTACAACCAGATAGAAGCCATACCATTATTACTAGAATCAGGCTGCGATCCCAACTACGTTACTCCAGACAACAAAACTGCGATGTATCGTGCTTGTTTCTATTCCTCTGTTGATGCAGTAAGGATATTAGCCGAAGCTATGTATGATGTTGACATCCCTTCTAAAACCCGTGCACAAGCTGCCGTCCATTGGATTTGCCAATCGAAATCAATCGAAATTGCGAAAATTTTATGCGCGAAAGGTATTGATGTCAACAGAGTAGACCAAGATGGAAACACAGGACCATTTTACATCATCGATATGGATATTCCACAAGAACAAACCATTGGAATTTTACAAATTCTTTTAGATCACGGTTTGGACATCAATTTCCATGAAAAAGGAAAACTTACGATACTTGGTTACTTCTTGACTTCAATTAACACTACAAAGAACGCAAAAATTATTGATTTTCTCTTGCAAAATGGAGCTGATCCAAATGCAGAAGTTTTTTCATCAGGATACATGTCAAATAGCAATACAAAGATGACATGCAAGGATAAATTGAGAAAAATTGCAAAGAATGATGAACTCAAAGCAGTTTATAAGAAATATTTCGGTGAATTAGAAACAACACCGAAAAAATAATAAAATAATAATGTATGTTATATATATGTCAAACTAATCCATAATTCTTCTCCAATTTACCAAAATTAAAATCACCATAAAGATTTCTTTAAAATTCAACTTATTTATGATTGGTATTCACTAAAGTGGTTTATAAGAGTGAGTTTAACACTAAGAGATAATAATTTAATTTAAAAAATGATAAAAATATTAATATTCCATTGCATTGTATTCATTTACTAAAATTCTTATCTTACTCAAGCTAATAAACCATGTGATTCTTTAAGATACTCAAATAACATTAATATACTGAAATATATTTTGAAATCTACTAAATAGTTCCGAAATACTATGATAATTAAAATTCAATAGTATTAGAAAGTTTGTATTTAAATGGTTATTGCCAGATATCTTCTCTTTTTGACTGAGATGTTGATATTGAATGTGAAAATGTCACTTTTTATTCGGAAATTAAAATGGACTCAGAACTGAATCCAACAATTAGAAAGCTTGCAATTAATGTCATGGATGACCTTCTGGCTCGTCCTATGATATTAATTCTCTCAGAAAGGGAAAAATACAATGATGGCCCACTCTCTCAAATTCGTCAAGAATTAACGAACAAAAAATTCCCGAATATATCAGCTTGGGAAAAAGCAGTTGTAGATGTATTCAGGGATAAAAAATTCAGCGAAGATGAAGTACTTAGAGATGTAGCCTACGAAATGGAAACATATTTCAACCAAAAATGTGAACTACTGAATGAGCTAAGTGCATTTCATTTCAAAGATTTACTTCAAAACATATCAGATACAATTAAAGAAAATAATCCAGATTTATTGGCTGAAAAATAATTTGTTGCCATGTCATTTTATTAGTTTGTTAAGGAATAATATTCATTGTTACTTTATTGATGATTTTAGGATAATTTACGCATTTCAAATATATTCTTTAAGTTTACCGCTATTTCCTCTTTTATATGCAGAATATGATTGATACAAATTAATATTTTATGTCTTATTTTTTATATTTTCCTTGTAAATTAAAAATATATTATTATAAATCAATTTTTTGTTTCTTTTCCAACCAAATAGCCTTAAAAATACATGTCTTTTTTCTTAGTATTATATAGGTATTTGTTTTTTGATTGATCATTAGAGATTCAAATTTTGATTTCTCTGGGGTTTTCGTGAACAGACTGATAGATAATGTCCTTTGTAGTAGAAAATATGGAACATCAAGAGAACGACTGTGAAACTCAATTTTTGTCAAGATTTTCAGCAAAAAAAAATTTTTCAAACAAAAATCTTGATGGAAAAGTCGGTCAGCATTTGATAATTCATAATTCATGGGGTACATATTTTCAAGGTACCCTTGAAGTTACACGAAAATCCATGCTTTCTGCGGAATCTTTTACTGCAAATTCGATTTGGTTTTATAGATGCATATACAAAAACATTAATTCGCAAGTTTGGACAATTTCTGCAACCACTAGTTCTAAACTACTCTGCGAGGAGTCCATTTTCATCCACTGCGTGACTGAATCAAATAACGTTTTTACGATTTCAACAGGAACAGCTATTTTACAAACAATCTGCTACGAGAACTGTTACTCAACAAGTGATGATATGGCATTAATAACTGCACCATCTTTAACACTTAAAACTTTTTCACTTTATAACCCGAGTGAATCTGATCCAATTGCCTTTTTCTCATTTAACTATGGTAGTAGTGATTCAACAATTACATCATATGGAAACGTTACGAGTACAAAAAGTTATTCGTTCTATTCTACTTCCAATTCTCAAGCAAAACTACAATATTCATGCATTGTATCAACACAGTGTATCAAAGATAGTAATAATTATGCCCAAGTTTTAGCTTTTAATGTTGGATATTTTCAATTTGTTGATGCATTATCAAATTCGTACGCAAGTGCATATAATCTTAAGTACGCAACGTTTCGTGTTACAACAATTACAATGGATTCTTGCTGCCTCAAAGATAATACATTTCCATATGATATTACTACGTCAAGTGGAACAATAACGAATACATACGTATCAAAACCTATTCGAGGGATAGTTTACACACCAATTCGTGATAGTGCTACTCATAACATTGGCAAAATCTTATGTTTTGATGTAACTCCTATGGCAACAGAAACTCCAACCCCTGCTCCAACACCAACTCTTATGCCTACGCCATCTTTGATGCCTACACCTTCTTTGGAGCCAACTCCGTCTGATATTCCAACAAGATCTTTACTTCCAACTCGAACTCTAAATCCTGCGACTCCTCTTCAAACTGAAGTACCACCAGAGACACCATTACAAACAAATATTCCACCAACTGATAATATCATTGTTGCACCAACAAAAAAACAATTTGGACTCCCTGCAATAATGGGAATCACTGTTGGTACACTTGCTGTTATTGCTCTTGTTGTGAGTATAGTTATATTTACTTGGAAATTTGGTTTTAGGAAGAAAATTGAAGATGCAGTATCAGAATCAGAAGTTACGGATTCTGATGAATATGAGTATGAAGATGAGTGATCATTATAGAATGTTTGTTTTTTATAAAATACCATTTAATAAAAAAAATATAATTTTTTATGCGCTTGACAACAAAAGAAATTCAAAATTAAGAAATACATGTCTGACACATGCTTTATTTTAAAGTCAAAATTCTCGAATATTACAAGATTAAAATTCAAAGTCATCCCGATTCCATAATTATATACTTTGGAGTTCATGATTATATTAAACTCTTCATTTAAAATGTATATATGATATCGAAGTTTAGATTTTTCATTAAATTAATGAAATCTCTTAGATTTTATTTTTCAGAATCAGGATTATTAAATCATTCTTTATAAAAACGCGTTTTTGGTTCAAGAGATAGTGACTTTGCTATTGATAATTGATTTTGAATGAACGCAGACAATTCTTTTTTTATTTTATTTCAAAATTTTAAAAACATATTATTGTAATTATCATGAAAAGCAAACATTGATGCAAATTAGAAAATTGTGAAAATTACGAAAACCTCTGTAAATATCAGAAAAACGTTTTTATGGCAAAGCATTCAATGGAATTCCTCACAACATATCCAGAGGTTCGTGAGTACTCATTCGTTAAAGAACTAACGAGTGGTGCTCTAAACGGTTCCTGGAAAGCTGTGAATAAGAATAATCAAAACTTTTATGCAATTAAGTCGATTTTAAAGACTTCTTTTCAAACTCCAGAGCAAAATGCGAAATTTTTAAATGAAATATACATCCTTAAACAAGTTAATAACAAATACATCGCTTCACTTGTTGATTTGATCGATGATTCCAATGCATATCACGTAGTAACTGAGCTCCCAGAAGGAGTATGCCTTAGAGAATATATAGAAACGAATGGCCCACTTAGCGAAAAGTCTGTGAAAGATATTATCGCGAAGTTATTTTATATTGCTTATTATACCAGGGAACAGCTTGGCTTTAAATACTGTAATATCAACGCCGAAAATATTTATGTCGATAGCAATGGCACAATGACTAAATATCTATTAGGTTCTGAAAGTTCCATCTCTTCTTCAGCGAATAACCCTAAAATAATCCCGTTTTTGGCTCCAGAATTCCTTTCTACCCAGAAATTCCATCCTAACTCTGACACATGGTGCTTCGGTTGCATTACTTTCTTTTCATTAACAACAAGAATTCCATTCCTCGGAGCAACTCCTGAAGCGACAATCAAAGCAATATTAACATCACATGAGACTATCCCTGATACAGTTTCTGAGCCTGGAAAGCAGTTCATTGAGCGTTGTTTGATTAAGAATCCTTTGATGCGTCTTAATCTTAACGATTTATACTCCGTTAGCTTTCTTGAAAATGTTCCAATGGAAACTCCTCAAACATCAAACGAAAGAAGGTTCTCTGGCACTTATATCGAAGATAAGGAAAAAACAGCTCACCTTTCAGCACTTAGTCAAGCAAGAAGATGCTCAGAAGCATTTGCCTCTGGTGATGGCCCATCAGCGTTTGCAAAAAAGCCGATGGTCAAAGTTTCCTACAAATCAGGCTTTTCTGGACTCAAACGTACCGCTGCAAAAGGCAAGACTGAGACCCACCTCGGATAACAAAGCAAGATAATACAAAAGAAAAAAAATTGAAACATGATTTTATTTTTTTTTAATGTTCTTAAAGGCTCTTTACCATTTCTATTAAATATTGATTTGTTTTCAAAAGCAATATTATATTTATAAAAAAATAAGTGAATTTCAAAAAAATTCAAACAAAAATTTTGATTTATTTAACAAAAATTTGATTCTATTCATATGGTTCCTGCATATAGAGGAGATATGTTCATCTGATTTAAATCGCTTTTCAACCTTCTTCAATTCATCTTGATATTTTTGTAAATCTTCGCTTTTCATTGATTGATAAAACTTATCAGTGTCAAAATTCAAGAAAATGTTCTTTAAAGGCTTTATACCAGTTTTTACTAGATATAACTCAAAAATTATGATGATTATATTCTGATTTTGTATTTTATTGATTATCATTCATGATATATGAAATAATTAATTACATTTCTTTATATTGTACTGTCATCTATGGATTTTTTTGTGAATGATTTTGTCAAATTATCATTAATTGCCTAAATTTTTCATTCATTCATATCACTATGAGTGAGCAATATCTGTATCATACTTATATCAGATCTATTTCAACATTTTAAAATCCAAAAAAAAAGTAAAAAAAAATAAAACAATAGGAAGAATCTTCAATTTTTACATGAAAATAATGATTTTTTTTAAAAATTTGGAAAATAGATATACTCTATAAATTGATTCAATACATGTTTCCATTAATTTTGAAACGTTTGATGTCTTTAATTAAATATTTTTAAAATACAATTCATTACATCATTAATTTGTAGCATAAATAACATCATATCCATACACAAAATTCTATTTTTATAGTTAGTTTATACTATTTAAAGAAATTCATCAAAACGATTTTCAAATCATTTATCAGATATTATATAAAACATTCTAAACCATCACAAACATCATAAACAAACCGAGTTTGACTACCCAATTACATATCAACCAAGTCGGTGAGATAATGCGTTACTAAGCTATCAATCATGAGTATTTTTTTAAAAAATTTGACAAAATTTAACTCATCTTAATTTACATTCTTAATCCAAGAGAAATATTCAATATTTTAGATATAGAAGTTTATATGCAAATACTACTCAAAGTGCTCTAATAGATTATTTGGTGATTTAGCTCAATATAAATTAATTCATCAAGATAAGTTTCAAAAATTATTTGTTTAAGGGTGCATTTACCACTTTCTGACATGCTCCCATAATATCAATATATCTTTATTGTGATTGCAAAAAAGTATAACTATAATATAAGGTACTATGTAGTGATTTAAAATAACTTCTTCCCGAACAATGTTAATGACTTTTTACCTTAGAAAATCTGGATAAAAAACTAGAATGTCAAAAAAATTGAGAAAATGTCAGAAAGTGGGAAGTGCATCCCTAGGGGTTCACTAACATGACAAAAAATATTCAAAATTTTTAACATGATGAAAAATATGCTCTACGATATATATTAATCCTAGTCTATCATTTTCAGAAAAAGCACGTTATAACTCAGGTTAGTGGAAGAAGGCTTTTTTTGGGTGGGTCAATAAAAATTAAAAATAATGATAAATATAGCATTGATATACATCATAAAATATATTTCTCAAGGGACTTTAATTTTTGTCATGTTAGTGAAGCCTAAAAACAAAATGTTAATTAATTAAATTTTTTTTATTTGATCTTAACTACAAATATTGGGAGTGTATTTTCATAATCTTTGACAATTACTTTGATATCCAAGTACTTCTTTGTAGGGTGTAACTCAAATTTATCTTTAGAATTTTCTCCGACATATTTCACAAGATCAGAAATTTTCATTTCTGATCTTTTTTCCATTTCTTGTTTTGAAGAAGCAGCAGCTTTTTGTCTTGGTATATAATACAATACCTTATCAAGATAAATTAGTTTTGTTACTTCAAATCCATAAAGTTCTTTGACTTTATTAATAAATTCCTTAACAGCTAAATCATCAAACAAAACACGAGTCCATTTCGTGAATTTCTTCTCATTCTTTGATTTATATATATCTGCTTCTGCTGGATATCCAATTATGTAGTCACTGAATGAGATATCGAATGAACTATCTCTGAAAACTTCATACAACATCTTCTTCGGCTGTTTATTTGTTTCTTCTAACTCATTAAACGTGTATCCTTCCAAATTCAGCCTTTCATCGATAGAATGTATCTTATACATCTCAAGAGCAACAAATCCACAGATCATTGCTGTTGTTGTCGCAAGACTTGGAATGATTTTGCCAACAATTCTTTTAATTTCCAACTTTGAGACGTTGTTGATCTTGTAATTGCTGGCTCTGATGTTGGATGAAGAGTACATGAGGTCTATTTGGCTGTTTGAGTCATCATCTTTCTCAAATTGTTCGATGTTTAACAATTTGCTGTTTTTAGCCAAATTTACGAAGAAATCGATGTCGTTGATATCATAATCAAGCTTAATCTTGTCGTTTTTGTCCGGTTTCTCGATGTTTTTGAGAAGATTTTGGATTTCATTTTCGTTTTCTTTGACTTCTATCGAAAACATCCTTGCCCAGATCTTCGCGAACGAAATAACGAACGTACGGTGCAGTTCTGAGTTGATATCGAACTCAATTGGATGTGGACATCTCTTTGAACCAGTCCAAAATTTGTGTCCTTCTTCATCTTTATGATCAGGTGGCAATGCTTCTAAAATATCTTCAATTCTCCAAACAAAATATTTGTAAAATCTTCTCATTGAAATTTTGAGACAATCGGGGAAGTTCACCGGCGGTTTTGACAAAATTTTGAGAACTTGATTTATATTTGCCGAATCTTTTTTGTTTTCATTTATGAAGGAATTTGGATCAGAAATGAACTTGTTTATCATTGTTGGCATCTGGTCGAATGTTGTTAAGAACAATTCTCTCGACCATTCCGCGCAATGATTGATATCTGATGGAAATCTGTGCAAAGTACACTCAGGAATTCCTTCATCTTCTGGATCATTCTTGTCATTGTACGATTGGGTGACTCCTGGAACAATTGCTTGATAATTGCATCGTGTTCCTTGAGTTCCTGACTCAAGCAAAGGTTTGTTGTAAAATACGCATAAATCATCCGATTTTCTACGCGTTGGGATGTTATCCAATGCATTACATACACCATCAAGGCTTTCATAGAAGTCGTCGTTGTAGATAACTCTCGTTTCTTCGTTGAATAAGTTCGAATGAGAAGTTATTTTGATATCTGGGTTCATCTTCTTTACAGACTGTGCAGCAACTACACTCTTCAGCTGACCGATGTCATTCTTGTGGAAGAGGAACTGTCTGCTGAGGTTAGAAACTTCAATTGCGTCCATATCTGTAATTGTAAGGTTTCCTTTCTCTCCTGTGAAGCATCCCATCATCGCAAAGTTCTTAAGCAACTCGCAGCCAAGAGCTCCGGCTCCGATCATGAAATATTTCAGATTCATAATTTTATTTTGCAAATTGTTTCCGAAAACTTTGCGATAAGCGTCGTATCTATCACCAACAGGTTCGTAAACAACATTGGAAAGGGTGGCTTCGATGTTTCCAAGAGCTAAATACGATAAAATCGGTGTAAACATGTGAGTTACGAATTTTATCACTTCCTGGCCAACGATACCGCCAAAAATGGCACAAATAGGACTGAGGTGAAGTCCGTAACCTCTCAAAAAGTGGTCCAAAACAAGATTTGAAATTTCATCGCAGAAATTCAACTCTTTGCAGACTTTTTGAGCGATATTAGTAAACTTCTCTTTATCTACTTCTTCATTTGGATACATTTCATTGTATTTTGACATTGATAAGAAACATGAAATTATTTCAACGTTTTGTCCTGGATTTGCATAATCAGAATCAAGAATAATTGGTCCTTTGAAGCTTTCTTGTAACGATGGGAAGTCCATTGTGAATGGTTGTTTGACTTTTGTGAAAATTCCTTTTCCTTCATGTAAAAACTCGCTAAATTTAGTTGTATCACCAATAGTGAATTTACTATAGTCTATAACACTTGTAACCTTGAATTCTTTGCCATTTATTTCAGTCATTCCTTCGATATCTTCAAATTTGACTACATCTCCTTCAGAAAGGAAGTGGTTTGCATTATTATAAGTACTAACGCATCCGTTTTCTTCATTATTAATGTCGAAAATCAAAACTGGCTTCGGTTTATAGTCATCTCCTTTTGTAACGAAATGTTTCTCACCAAAGTCATTAAATACGAAGCCAAATAAGCCAGAACATTGCGTTAAAATGAATTTGATGTGGTTTGCATGACAGAAATCTGACATTTCGAGAAGTTTTGAATATGGATAAAAATCTGCTAAAACAACAATATTGAATTTGCCGAGAAATTCATTTGTGAGTTCACATGTTGCAATATTTACTTTAACAAATTCATTTAATTCAACTAATTTTTGGTAACAAGCTTCTGCACGGTTTTTACCAATATCTGATTCATTTAAGTAAAATTGGGATGAAAGGTCAGACATTGTAGTTGCTTTGGTGTCATGAATTGTCACTGATTTCTCTCCCATTAAGATAATATTTTTTGCAATTTCGACACCAAGACCGTTCATGCCTGAAATGAGGACAGATGTCGATGACATGGCTTTCATCGCATCTTCGCCGAATGTATAAATCTGACGACTATAAAGTTGTGATTCAGTATTTGTCATAAAAAAAATTTGTTGTCTTTTTTTTTTATAAGAAATTTTGTGAAGAATTGATGAAGTAAAAAAAGGTGACTGTTAAATTATAAATTGACTTGATAATGCATATTAACATAAGCTCTTCAAGCAACTCTTTCTAAATATCATATAAAATGAGTTTTAATCATATAAATCAATCAGATTTTTTTATCAGCTGCTGTGTTTGCTATTTGGAGATAATCCATAAATAGACCTATGAGAATTAATGAAACATTTCAGTAATAACACGCATAATCTTTGAAATCACATTCAATATCGAGCTCCAATTCAGAAATTTATCATGGGCAAATAGTGCGTTACGCTTTTTGGATTTTTAAATTAATTTATACATGTGTCTTTCAATCATATAGAATTTAGAGAAAAAAATAAATCAATTGAATCAAAATTTGAGTAACTTTTCCTAGGAAGCAAGCATATTGATATAAATCTTAGAACACATGTAATCATAGATTCATAGGAAGTTCTGGCATTGTGAAGAGGAAATACAAATTATGGAAGATTTGACCAAACACATCTTGATATTATTCATACGCATAAGTTCAGTAGCAATACGTACATATAATAAAGATATTAAGCTTAAATTGAATAATTCTGATGAATAACTAAGTTAATTTCAAAAAATACAAACAATTTTTTTATTTATTTAACAACAATTTGATTCTATTCATATGGTTCCTGCATATAGAGGAGATGTGTTCATCTGATTTAAATCGTTTTTTAATCTTCTTCAATTCATCTTGATATTTTTGTAAATCTTCGTTTTTCATTGATTTATAAAACTGTCCCGGGTCAAAATTCAAGAAAATGTTCCTAAACTCGTGATCATAAACCTGATTTTGTTGCCAATCTTGAAATGTTTTTGTTTCTCAGAATTTTTTGAGTACTTTATATGAAGGAAGTAATAAGGCTGATTCTTCTGATACAAATTCATCAAAGTTTTCATTTAATGGATTTCCTCCAAGTAATTCATAGAAAGGATTTTTGATTAAGTTAATAAGAATGATTTTATCGATTAATTCATTCATCTTCTTGTTACAATCCACCCATTTAAGCATTTCATAACTTGATGGAGCAGATTTTTTGATTTTTAAAACGTATTTATTTTCATAATTTGAAATTTGAGTGAGACCAATAATATTTGCATCTTGGTCTTTCCCTAAGTTTGACTCGTCTGTGTTATACCGAATTGTTAGTTTTCCTTTATATTTTCTTGGAAGTGTAAAAAATTGAAGGCAATTAACAGCTTTTGAGAGCAAATATGGGTCTTCGCATTCTACATATACAGGAACTTCAGATAAAATATTGCTCCAGAGCTCTTTATAATCTGTTTCTGCTGGAATTGTAGTAATAGGATCGAAATAGAATGTATTTGCTGATGAAAATTCAATATTTTGATCGAACTCTTTATCAGAGTATATAATATGCATAGTTTTTTCGTCATAATAACTCCAAAAACTTATTAACGAATTAATGTATGTGAATATTGATTTAATTGGTAAACCCTTGAGTTTTTCGCACATATCTCGATCAACACTTAAGAAAAAATCATAAAATAGTTTGGTCAAATCTAATTTTGTAATAATTAGTAAAGCGTAATATAGATTGTTTTGGATAAAATGATAGAAATGATAGTAAGTTTGATCAATAATAAATGTGAATATCTTCTCTGTTGCAAAATCCACATTTTTCGGATTAATATTTTGCAAAATTAACTGCTTGATGCTATCCTCTAGCATAGAATTATTATTTGACTGGATTTCTACAGGATCATCATTGTCTAATAGTTGATATATTGAAACTTTTTCTACTATCATCAATGATTTTGGTCAGTACTATTATCGTTATCGAAAGTATGAGATGAAGTAATTCTTTTGATAGCCTTTTGAGTTGTATAAATAGATGTTAAGGTTTAAAAACGAGTTACTTAATTGCGCTTATTGAACTCAATATAATCTTTCCAATATTGAAAATTTTTATTTCAAAAGCAGAAATAATGAAGCGCGTATGCAATAAAGATTTTAAAATTGAGAATCATAGATAGCATGGCTTCCATTTAGGTTGTTTTGTTTAATGAAAAGATAATATGCAAATTTTGTCCAATTATGTGATATTTAATCTTATCTTTCTTCATTTATAGGATATTTAGAAGTATGTCACTTAATTTATTCAATCTTCCTTCATTTATGATATCAAAATAAGAAATTGTATATAAAAATATATCAGAAATAAGCCGAAAAATAACGATTTATCTAATTGTAATAGAAAACAAGTCTAAAATAGATAAATTGCTTTGGAAATTAAGTATTTGCGTATGACAATAGCGTTACTGCAAAGGTTGTTCGTAACATTTGATAACATTTTCGATTAACCTCTGTTTCCTGCGTATGGAAATTTGGCGAGAATGATCCATAATAACATTGATTTGCTATGGTTTACTGGATACTTCTGATCGATGTTATCTTTAGTATACACACCTCCTACTGTTGAAATTGTTGCTGTGAAAGATGGATAGTACCATTCTGTTTCGCTTGATGAAGCAGAACCTTCCTTTACTTGATCCCACTGGAAAACCATGTTATCTGTAAGTGAACCACTGACAATATAACCTGAATCAAGTTCGAATTCTTTTTCTGCTTCGTTATAATTCAATCCTGAAAGAATATAATATGTTTTAGCATTTTCCAATTTACCTTCTCTTTCCTTATGATTGTTATTCTTATCTGGTTTCGAATTTAATGCGAAATCAGAATATTCCGTTCTCATGTATGTTACTGTCTTAAGATCTGGTGTGACAATTAAGCCAGTTGTTAGGTCAGATGTTGCTTTCAATCACTTTTTGCTCTTTGATCCTTGATAATAAACATCTAAGCTCATTTTTCCTTTAAAGTTGGTAGAAACAATTGACTTTGATCCAATTGTTAATGATGTGTTACTCGAATTAAAACTATAGTAGTATGAAATAGGGATTTCCATGTATTGAATTCTACAGCCTTCGGAAGAGATACATTTAACTTTTGTAACAGGTTCTTGGGATTCATTAGGTCCAGTCACAGTTCCAAGGCTTGCCAATGCTTGTTGTACAGGAGATGACTTAATGTACTCGTAAGATTCGCCTTTTTTAGTTGGACGAGCATTAATGACTTCATAATCACCCTTTCCTGCTAGCATGCAAGATCCGACAATGCAGAAAAATCCATCCTTTACAATGGAGCGAATTTTTGAATTTCCAATTCCATCTAATTGGGTTAAATTAGTGCATTCAGGGAATGCATCCTTTGGATCTAGCCTTACATTTGCGGATTCCAGACTTTGGCGAGCATTATTGAGAGCAACAATTCCCCGCAACATCGATTTTATAATGAGTTCACAATTTATTTCGGATATCAATACAAATTTGCCGGTTAGATCCGATTTTTATAAATTTATCTCATAAATTAGATGAGGATTATAATGTAATAATTCTAGCTTTGGAAAACAATTCAATTACATCAACGATACTTTCGCTATCAAAGGGCTAACAACTAATTCTCATTGCAATGATGATATCTACATATATTGCATAGGATATATTTAAGCTATGACTAATGAACTCTCAAACAAATAATATACATTTCAGAAATATAGGAAGAACTCTCTCCAAAATGCTCGATTCATAGTTCATTTGTAATGACTGATTAACAAGAAGCTTGATATTATTATTTATTGATATTTTTGTAGCAAATTTCAGATTCATTTCGGAAAACATGCAAGCTATTACATCCTGAAGATAAACATGTAAATCCATATTGAAGGTATTATTCTTTTTGTAAGAAAAACTCAAAGAAAAAATATAATTATAATTTTTTACTAGATTTTGTTTATTGCACTGGAATTGTGGAGTATTTAGCTGCTTCATCCATATGTTTAATCTTCTTATGCACAATGACACCTACTACAATAATTATTGTTAAAACAACAAAGCAACCCACGCCAATGACAATTATCCAGGTTAAAGATAAGCCATGGTGGCCTGGATACTTCTGATTGACGTTTTCTTTGGTGTAGGCACCTCCTTTCGTTGAAAGCGTTGCCGTAATTTCTGGATAATACCATTCTGTCTTATTTTCCGCATCAGATCCTGCTTTCACTGGTTCCCACTCAAAGGTGTTGCTGCCCGAGACTGTAGCAGTTAAAGATCCTGTATCAGTATTAACATAAGTTTGGATCTCATCAAAATTCATTCCAGTAACTATATAGAAGCTATCGGATTTGTTAATAGTACCAGATCTACTTTGGTGGTTATTTTTTGGAGTTGGTTGTTGATTAATTGCGAAATCAAAATATTTATCTCTCTTATATGTAACAATTTTGAGATCTGGTGTGACGATAAGTCCATTTGTCGTATCTGCTGTGCTTTCTACGTATGTTTTGCCATAAGTTTTTCCTGAAATGTACAAATCAAGATTTAATTTCCCTTTCTTTATAGTAGAAACTATTGATTTCACTCCTACTGTTACATCCGTTGTTATACCGAGTAATGATTGCTTATAATTAACGTACAATGATGGAGGGATATGCATAGCTTGAATTCTGCAACCATCTTCAGAGAGACATTTAACTTTGGTAACAGGTTCTTGAGGAATCATATTTCCTGTAACAGTTCCAAGGCTCACTAATGCGTTTTTAATTGGTTCGGATTTTACATATTCGTAAGATTCTCCATTTTTAGTTGGGAGAGCATTGGTCGCTTCATAATCTCCTTTTGCTGCTAACATGCATGAGCCAGTAAAGCAGAGGAGTTCATCTTTTTTGAGTGGAAAAATTTGTGGAATTCCATAACCGGGAAAATATGGATAGGATTTGCATTCTGGAAATGCATCTTGTGGGTTTAGTCCAAGACTTTTAGATTCTCGGCTAGTGTTCATACTATTCATGGCCAGAATGTTTCGTAACATTATCAATATTGAATTCAGATTATTCAGATTTGGACTCAGAAATATATTTCAATAGTATTCTGAATTTTTACATCAATCAATAATTTAGATAATCTTGATCTATATATTAAAACATCCTATTTTAACTTTCTGAGATTCTAATCAAAAATCGGAGGTTTTACATTGAATTTATCGTGGTTTATTTTATCTGCTCATTAGTGAAATATTATATGTTTCCTAATTACTCATTTTGTTGTTTAATAAATTGAAGAAATCAGTTTCTGTCATCTACAGAATCGAAAATTGATCTATTAAAGCATGAAAATATTATATTAATCATCAATGGATGCATTTTCGCTAATGTATTCATCTTAACAGTGTAAATTTCAAAATTTATTTTAAAAATGTAATTGTTTTCGATTAATTCTCTATTACATATGTTTATGTAACAATGAATGATCATGAGATGAGTTTATTAGATATCTTTTTTCAATAAAGAAAATATCTTCCATAATTTTGATGTGTTTTTAGTTTTTGTTGACCACTATACTCGATGATGAGAATGAGATATTCTATTTTATACGAATCAATATATTGATCCATGATGTGTAAAAAAGTTTTATGTTTAAACATGAACTCTTTATTAGACTGAAAAAATTATCACCTTAAGTATAGTGATTTTAGACTTCATTATATGAATCTGCCTTCTTCTTTTTCATGAAGTAAATTACAACACCAATAATGATGCAAGCTACAAGCATGCAAATTACTACGACTGCAACTATCACTCCAGCTGATGATCCATCTCCTGGGTATTTCTGATTAATGTTATCTTTCGTATAGGCACCGCCCGATGTAGATAGTGTAGCGGAAACCTCAGGATAATACCATTCAGCATCATTTTCTAATTGTGCCTCATTCTTTGATGGTTCCCAATTTATGGTAGTGGACCCAGAAATTTTGATACTTGAGCCAGGACTGTAATCTTCAGATTCAGCATAATTTAGTCCGGAAATTAGTTGGTAACTTGTTGCTTCTGGTAAAGTTCCTGATCTTTCTTTATGATTATTTAATTTGGATGTATTAACCTTTAATGCAAAATCTGCATATTTTTCTCTCTTAAATGTACCTTTTTTAAGATCTGGAGTTGAAATAATCCCATGAGCGATAATTCTCTTAGTATCAACAGATTTATCATCTTCCAATTCGTAACTAGTGGAAACTCCAAGTTTTATATTTCCTTTTCTTAAAGTGGAAACTATTGTCTTAAATCCGACAGTATTATGAGTTCTAATACCTAAAATTTTTTCATCATATTTTAAATAAACTGAAGGAGTAACTCCCATGTATTGAACTCTGCAGCCATCTGAAGAAAGGCATTCAATTTTTGTGACAGGGATTGATTCGGCAATAGTATTAAGCTGTCCAAGACTAACCAATAAATTTTTTATTGGGTCAGATTTTATAAATTCTACTTTCCCTGATTTATTGACTGGAACAGCAGTTGTGCCCTCGTAGTCTCCTTTACCTGCAATCATACAAGATCCAACAAGGCAAAATAGCTCATTATTTTTTAAAGGATAAATCCTTGGAATTCCTATATTTTGGACTGTTTGTACTATTGTGCATTCTGGAAATGCATCTCTTGGAGAGATGGTGAGTGGAACTCTATAAGTTAAATTTCCAAATGTCAACATATTTCTTATCATTCGATAATTTGTAAGGTCAAATTTACGGATCCGTAAAAATTCAATGGCTGATCAGAATATAATATTTTTCAACCACCTGAATCTACAGCTTTAGATTGTGTTGGTGAATCAAAAATTTATTTATCAATTTTTCATCGTTTCGGGTACTAATTCAATTCGAAATATTCGTCTTTATTTGAATATTTTTGCATTGAAATTTATAAACCAATTTTTGGTATCATAGATATTTGAACAAGTGAATTAGACATTTCAGCATAAAATATTGATAAATCTAAGTATAAATATCATTCTATTTATCAAAATGATTAATACATTAGCAACATTATTTAATAAAATGTCTTTTGTTTTCAAAATATAAATTTGTACTGATAAATAAGTGATCTTGATAAGGAATTGGGTAGTTATAAACAATAATTTTTTAACAAACAAATAAAATAGATAAAAAAATAATTATTTCTGAAGAGGGAATTCATTTTGTTTTTTCTTGCTCACTTGAGATCTCCAAAATCGATCTTTCTGTTCTTCTGATATTTGGGAAGCTGTCATTTTGATATTGATTTGGCGTTTCATCAGAAGTCCTTCACTTAGAATCATAGGTCGCTTGTATGAATCTAACTTAAATTTAGGATCAATTTGTTTAGCCTTCTTCTTGTTTTTCTTCTCTGTCTGTGTTGCTTTATCATTGATCATTGCTTGATATGGAAGATTGTATTTTCCTCCATGGATCTCTTTCATCAAGCGATCCTCAAAATTGTGAAGAAACGTTGATGTATCTTCTTTTTCTTTATTGGAATTTGATTTAGACTTATTTGTAGATTGGTATGGATCATTCGACTGAGAATCATCATAATAACTGACACTATCATATGTATCATTATGATGTCGATCTTTGCTTTGGTTTTTCTTTTGATTTGACGAATAATATGATTTTTCGTCATATGATAAATCATTTTGAGATTGAGTGTAATAATCAGAATAATATCCTGAGTATTTAGGTTCATCGTTGATTGATTTCTTAGAAGTATCTGTATTCGCTGATTCTGTTTGATTTGAACTAATATTTGATGGTAATTCTGCTTGTTGCTTTGGATTTGATTTATCGTTCTTTACTTTTTCGTTCGTATTAGAAGCATTGCTCTGTTTTTCAGACTGTTTGTTATCCAAATCTTGAAGATCTGAATTTTCCATTCCATTTTCAGATGAAAGAATCATTCTTGGCTCGTCAATCTTGGATGATTTGTTGGCCTTATTTGGATTTCTTGATATTGATTTGAGTGTATTTGGTGCACTTTTTGTTGGTAAATCTTTCTTTGTTGATCCTGACTGTTTGATATTTTTATGTTTATCAGCTCCATTCTCATTCATCTGATTTCTTTCTTCATCATTATCTATGTTTTGTTCAAGAGAATTCTTGGATGAATTTGAATTCTGCTGCTTTTGTGGTTTATCTTGAATATCTCTCTTATTGTCTAAATCATTTTTATCACTATTCTTCCGATTTGAAATTCCATTATCATTCTTCACGTCAGGTGTATTTGTTGGATTGCTATTTTCATTAGATAATTCGGTTTGTTGCTGGTTCAACCGATTATCTTTATTTTTATTATCTTTGATATTATTATTTCCTTCATTATTTCCTTTTGATTGGACTTGCTTCATTAAATCAAGTTTACTACCATTAGATTGATTTGATTTTGGATTTGAATTCTTTGATAAATCAGATTGCTTTTGAGTTTTTCCATTAGAATTCTTTTGATCACTATTTTTATTAGGTTCATTTTGACTTTGCACTTGATTTGTATTTGTTGTAGCATCATTTCTTGATTCAGGAGGTTGAGAAGTTGGTTTTCTGGAATCATTTATTTCATGTTTTGTGTTTGACCCATTCTTTGGTTGATCAGATGGTTTGTAATTAGAATTCAATACATTAGATTGATTTGGTGCAGAAATCTTTTCATTTGGCTTTTTATTTTCTAATTCCTTGATTTCCTTTGTTGGTAGTGGTTTCTTTTCATTTTGATTGGGATTTTCCTTCTTATCAGCATCAGAAATATTTGGTTTCTTTTCATATTTATCCTGATTAGCATTTGCTTGGATATCTTTTGTTGAATTTGGTTTGTTATTTTCTGCTTTTTTCTGTGAAGGAATGGAGTTCTTTTGACCAAATTTGTTAGTTTCCTGTGTTTGGTCATTATTTGCTGAATCTGATAAGTTAGAATTCCTTTCGTTGAACATTTCTTTCTTTGGAGAGATTCCTTGTTTATCTGATTTTGCTGGATCATTAGTAGAATCTTTCTTCTCTTTTGTAAGATTTGTTTCATTTGGTTCGTTTGATTCTGTGTTATAATAACTTTGATCTTCAGTTGTCTCGTTTCGGGCTGATGTTTCATATTTGTAATCATATGAAGAATCGTAATAATCATCATATTCAATACTTTGACTTTGCTTTTTGTTTGAATTTGACTCATAGCTTGTATAATCTGAAATTTCTTTATTTTCCTTTGGTTCAACAATGGAGACATCGTTTTCAGCCAAGATTTTTTCAGTAAGTAATCTATCGAGAAGCTTAGATCTGATTGGATTGGTACAAATTCTCAAGTTATGCGCTAGTTCTCTCTTCGTCATAACTTTTTCATCATTTTCTTTCATTGGGTTTTTGACCTGCTTCTTCTTTTCTTTCTTCTTGTTATCTTTTGGTTTGATGTATTGAACTGGTTTACTGTATTTGCGAATTCTTGGTAAGAAGTTCGGATCATATTTGTCATCATCTGAAAATGATTGTTGAGAATCTTGCAAGCGCTTCGAAATTGGAGATATATTTCTTCCAGTCTTTGGATCTCTGTAAGCCCTGTTTTGTCTGCGAGGTTTGTAAATTTCGCTGTCAGAGTCACCTCTAATTAAATTTGAAAGTCTTCCAACTGGACTGTTAATTCTGACATTATTCGGATAATCATCATTCCTTCTCTCTATCAAATCTGATCTATCACTTGATGGAAAATCATAATCCTTTTCATTATAAGAATCATCGTAATAAACTTGTGGAAGAATCTTATTTGGTTTGTGATTTGATCTGTCTTGTCTTGGATCATCATATCTTCCAATTTGATGATTGGAATTTGGATTTCTGTCATTAGCTCTTTTACTTGGATAATTTTCATAGTCATCTCTCCTATCTTTTGGAGCTCTAAATCTTGGATTGAAATCTTGATAATCATCTACAGCATTTCTTGTATTTCTTCTGTTAGTTGGATATCTTTCAGAGTCATTAATTGGACGTCTCTTTTCAGTATTATCAAAATCATTATCCTGGCCATATGTAGTTCTAGTTCTTGGATTTCTCTGCTGATATTCATCATAAGCATTTCTGTTAAATGGTTCCATATCTCTTGTATTAATTGGATATCTTCTGGATTCGTTATATGGTCTTTTGCTTTGAGGATCATAATAATTATCATTCTTGTAATTTGGATAATTTGGTTGATCATTTTGATAATCTTCATATAAATCTCTCTTATCCTTTCCAAATGGAGACCTTCTGCTTTGATTTCTTGTATTATCATTTCTTCCTTTGAAACTTGGATCTTTGGTTTTTTGATTATGATAATCTGGATTATTGTAAGGTCCTTGATTCTTGTATTGTTCTTCAATATCAGAATTCAATGAAGAATTATCATCATCTTTGGTTTGATAATATGGATCATATTTTCGATAATCTTTATAATTTGGATCATCATACTTATCTTTGTTCTTTCTTTGATCATAAGGAGTTGATGAATTGCGTGGTCTATTACTATTGATAGGCTGAGAATCACCAACTGCAATATCATTGTATTTCCTCTTATCATGCGAATGATGTTTATCATGAGATTTATTTCTCATTTTATCATCATCATTTCCATGTATGTGATGATGAGTATTTGGCAATTTATCTTTGTTTTCGTGTGATTTATGTCTATGCTTATTATCATCATCTTTATGAGATCTGTGATGATCTTTCTTATCGTCTTCTTTATTACCATGGGATTTATGCTTTTGATTGTGTTTATCATCGTTTTCATTTTCTTTCTTGCCGTGATGATGATGGTGTTTCTTTCCATCATTGTCATCGTTGTTTTCTTTATATTTCTTGCTATGATGGCGATGTTTCTTATTTCCTTTTTCATCATCCTTGTTATTGTCGTTATTATTATTGTGGTGATGATGTTTCTTTCCATCATTTTCATCTTTTTTATTTTCACAATTTTTACTATGATGATGACATCTTTTAGAATGTACATCAGAATTTTGATGTTGATGCTTCTTCTCCTCTTCATCATTATTTTGGTCTGCTTTAGTTTTATCATCAATATTTTCATTCGCTTCTTCCTCCTCTTCTTGTTTTAATTGACTATTACATTTATCTTCTTCTTCTTCTTCATTAGCTTCTGAGTTTATTTCATTTCCTTCTATTTCTGTGTTAGATTCTTCTTCATTAATTTGGTTATTTAATTCAGATTTTTGCTGAGAATTCTCTGGGTTGGATTGATCCTTGTTATTTATTGATGCTGAAGACTTTGATTTGTTTTGGCTAGAAAAGCTTCCATTATTTAACAAATCTTTATCTTCTTCATCTGCATTTCCAATTGTAAATATTGATTGTGAAGCAATTGCTTTCTCTATTTCAGTAATTGGTAAGTTTTCTCCTACAGCATTTGATAAAGAAAGTTCAATAACTTCATTATTAATGTTATTCAAATCAATATCATCAATTTGACTTCTGTTATCATCAGCAAGAATATCCAAAACGGAAGAAGCAGCTTCAACAATTTCACTTGATTGAGAAGATAATGAAGAAACTCTTCTGCTCTTTTTGAAATTCTTTCCGTGATCTGATCCAAGAACAACAGATTTGGCTCTTCTGATTTTCTTGCCTTTATTATTCTTCAATGCTTCTGAAATAAGAGAGAAAGGAACTCTCACTTCACTCATTGATGAAGAAAGAGGACGATTCTTTGACAAAGTCTTGAAAGAACCGAAGCTTCCTTTATCATGAAGATTATCATATGGTGAAGCAACAGAAGATCTACTCGATGAATGAGGTAAAAGTCCAAGACTTCTCGCTGATGACAATGCTGATGAATATGGACTTGATGACAATTTCTTGGATGATGTAAATGGAGTTGCAGAACCAGAAGAAGAACGTCTGGATCCATGTGGAGAAGGAGGTGCTGAAGAATGAGAAGAAGATCTCATTTTACTCAGCAAATACGGTGATGAATAAGGAGAAGATTGAGAATAAGCTGATGACAATCTCTTTGATGATGAATATGGAGAATAACCAAGAGATGAATGAGATGATGCAGCAGATAATTTCCTTGGTGATGATAAAGGAGAATTTGCAGCTGAAGAACGAGAAGAAGCATAAGGAGAAGTATATGAATTCTGTAACTTCTTTGATCCATGAGATGATGCTGACGATGAAGATCGGGATCTCTTTGGAGAACCAAGAGAAGACTTTGATGATTTAGAACTTTTTGGAGAAGAAAGAGATGATTTCGATCTTTTGGGAGTACTTTTATTGGATTTTGAGGATCCAGCACTTGATGATTTCTTTGGTGATTTCTTTCCTGATTTAGATGAATGTGGGGATGATAAAACAGAACCTCTTGATTTTCCAGATGATTTTGATGAATTAGATTTTGGCGATGATTGTGATTTGTTTGATTTCTTGGAAGATCTTGATCCTTGTGATTTATTAAGATAATCTGAAATGTCTTCAATAGATGGAGAATCACTATCACTGACAGGATATGGATTTTCATTTGTTCCATTAAATGATCCGAGATTTTTGGATAAAGGATTAAGTTTCATTAAGGAATTGTATGCATCTTCTATTTCTTCTTCAGATGATGAATCATCATTGATACTGTTTTGATGATTAATTTTGAGTTTTTCTTTGGATGAATTCAAGCTATCTGTTGAAGATGCAGAAATTGAGGATTTTCTTGGGAAATATTTATGAGAATCTTGAGGATCATCATCAAAACTAATATGTAATGGAGGAGATGTAACTGTTGTAGGATTTTCATTAAATTTGTCAAAACTACTAGATTTTCTCAGTGATGGTCTGAGACTAGAGCGTAGAGGAGTTTGTGTCATAGCACTTGTTGATATAATTGGAAGAGTCTTTGCAGGAGTGTAAATTTTTGGAGAATTGTAATGATGTTCAATTTTTGGGAAATTCATATTAATAAGACTGTCAGTATCTCCAGAAGAAGAAAAATATAGTGTTTGATCATAGAGATTAGGCCTCTCTTGTAAAGGAGTTGGAGATCTAAGGAATGTCTCAGTATTATTGAGATCATTTGATGTAGCGTTCTTATTTCTTGCTTCTTTATATGTTTTCTTTGGTGTTTTTCGTTTTTGTGTAACATTTGAGCGTGAAATTTTAGATTTTGATTTTGGTTGAGGTGTTTTCGAAATATTTCTTGGTCTTAAGTATGGGCTTTGAGATAAATGTGTTGCATTTGTTGTTGTTTTAATAGATGGAGTTCTTATTGATTTTGAAAAACTTATATTAGAATTTGAGCGCGATTTACTGGATTTGGTATTTTGTCTATTTCTTATATTGAATGGTGTATTGCTTTTGGTAATATTTAATTCAAATGGAGTAAATTCTTCTACGTTACTTCTATTTTGTTGCTTTTTCTCATTTGCGTACATCATTTCAATTTGTCCTTCCAAATTAGCCTTCTTCTCTAAAGTTTCTCGAAGTTTTTGAAACTGTGCAATGGTTTCTTCCTCAAAAGACGCCATTGCTGTACGTTTAAAAAAAATCTTCCTCAAGAAAAAATGGATTTGATCAAACGGATAAGATACTTGAAACCAATACTTGATATTTGGCGGCCCAAAGTTTGGGAAATGAACTTTTGGTGAAATAATAAGTTGAATGATATACCATTTGTATGGAATTATTTACTATTTTTTAAAAAATAATCTTTTAATTGTTTTGACTATTCTAAAAGCTTCGAAATCATCAAAAATAATTTCAATATTCGTTGTATATTAGCCATTTTTGAAAATATCCATAATATAAAAAAAATAAAGAAATATAATAATTGATTGAAATGAAACTTATAGAATTATAAGCCTTTTCGAAATGCGCATAGCTAAAATCATTATATATATAAAAAAATTAAAAAAAAAAAATCAAATATACGTTGCTTGAACAAGATGTTTAAGTATATCTACAGCAATGTATGATTATAAAAAAGTTGTGTTCTTATGGAGATTCTGAATGAAAAAAAATTAATGGTTCTGTTATTGGATCATATGAAAGAGGATAAAAGAATGTTTTGAATGCAATGTTAAACATGTATTAGAATTTGTATGGAAATTATGTATTCTTTTAGTTAGATCTAGAAGAAATAATTACATTTGTTGAATTTTCGTATTATAAAATGAGTTTAAGAGATGGTTTCAGAGAAAGATTTGTAATTGATGGTGAATAGTTACATCAAATGAATATACAAAGAGTTCTAAAGTTGTTGTGTGTTAATTTATGAAAAGTTATGAAATATTGGTATCTATTTCAAGTAACTTGTAACGAATCATAAAGTTTGTATAGTATTAATGGTGTTAGATATGAAATTAAATAACTGTTTGATACTAAAACACAATCAACGTATCTTGTTCTTGCAAGATATGATAATTGTGAATCAGATTCATACGGTGATACGATAAACTCGATGTATTCATTTATTAGTTCTTTCTTCAACTGATTTATGAATACATGGTAATCGTCGGTCAATTTATAATTGATGGGCAGTAATTTGTCATGAACTTGGCTACTTGATAATCAAAAGCAACAACAGAAAAAAAAAAAAAAAAAAAAAAAAAGGTAGTGGGGCCTCCAGGCACTTCGTGCCCTCTAGCCCTGAAGATGTTTAGTATAACTTTGTCCGGACAAGTAAGGGTCTATCGTCGCTACAGGAAAAGTTACGGGCGTTCCAAGGAAGTATACTTTGAGAAGACTTTCCCCCTTATAGAATGAGATAGGATGGTTATTTTACAAAACTGACAACACTTTGACCGAGTAGTTTTTTGTGCTGAACAAATAGTGTCATATAAACATCTGTCAAAAACCGCTTTTTAACTTCACTTAAAATGCCACGTAAGCTACGTAAGAATATACGTAAGAGGAAGGGAGCATTGAAACATCCAATAGTAAAACTGACACCACAACAACAGTTGCAACAACAAATGATGAATGACCCCACTATGTTGCAACAAATGTCAAGCAACCCTATGCTTTTAAGCCGAGTTATTGGTGCACAGAGTGGAGGTTTAAGAGCGGCACTTTTAGCGAAAATGGCAGGCTATGGTGGAGCTGCAGACGGAACAGCTTATAACCCTCAAAGTCAAATGAATTTGAGTTCACTCAAAAAATCAAATAACAGATGTCAAAAAGTCAAACATAGACATACAGAAACAAATAAGTGAAAACGAAAAGAAACTAGAATATGACAGACACACAAAGAAACTCAATGAGTTAAAAGAGAGAAAAAAAAGAACAACTGAAAGAACTAAGTACAGAGGAATATGCGAAAAAAGTGTCAGAAAAAGCAGCAGAAGTAGCAAAAATGGAACAAGATGTTATAAATTTGAAAAACCATACTACTCAATATAAAGTACTGAAAGATGAAGAAATAAAACAAAAAGCCCTGAAGACATATATGGATAGCGATGAGTATAAAAAAGAAGTTGAAGCAAATGTAAAGGCAGAAAAACTTTTACAGTTGCAAAACCAAACCGTACAGTATGAAAACTTAGCACAAGAAAGTAAAAATAACGACGCAGCCATGCAAAAGCAATGAAAAGCGCAGAATATATAAAAGCTAATAATGACTGGTTAGATGCCCAAGCCAACGCTAAAGCAGCCCAACTTATAGGGTCAATAAGGACAAAAATACAAGCGGATGAAGACAGTTCAAATGAAGCTTTAATGAATGCTGACTTTAAGAACGCCTTCGAAGCTCTTCATAGTAAGGTGAAACTAGTGAACGACTTCTCATCTGGAAAGAAACTGAAGTCTGAAGGTTTCGACAACGAGTTAAGAGAAGTAGCACAAAATATGACGAAAATAACAGATGCAGCAACGAGACAGGCAGTTCAAAGTGCCTATGACGCCGTTAGAGCAACTGTTGTGGAAAGTCAAGAAAAAGAGTTACAACAGACCAAAACAGACCTAGTAAATGCTTTCTTAAGAACGAAAAGTCAGGTAGGACATTATGCTGCAGATGGAACGTATGTGCCAGCTGGTGGAACTTATATACCACCAAACCCTCCAAGAGAAGCACCTGCACCAGGACTACCTAAAACATTTACATCGTCACATGGACACAGACACAGGCATGCACCAAAACCAACACAACAACCAACACAACAACCAACAGTTCAAAACACTGCACCACAACCAACAGTTCAAATCCAGCACCACAACCAACAGTTCAAAACACTGCACCACAACCAACAGTTCAAAACACTGCACCACAACCAACAGTTCAAAACACTGCACCACAAACAGAGCAAGGACATAAAAGAAGTAGAGAACAAGGAAACCAAGAATTCTTAAAAATGCTTAAGGAAGACTATGGTTACCCAGATACTCTTGACTTTAGTGACAGATATAAAGAAGCTATTAGAAAGTTCAAGGAAGGAAATACTGACCCGAACCTATTTAGCTTTATGGTTCAGCACCAAATGGGATATAATTTCAAACCTGGAAAATACAAGCTCGCTAAGGGATATGATTTAATAGCATATCATCCAAATGACATGACTGAATTTACTCCGAGATATTTGGTGTCAGAGATAAATGATAATTCAACTATCTTCATGAAACGCGTAAAAAAATAGAGACGGAACGAAAGAAGAAAGGGTTATGAATGCGGATGGCTTAAATAGGGAACTTGTTTAAAAACGGTCTCGGAATATATGAAATGCCAGCAGATGAGGTACAAGAAACTCCACAGAAGAAGTTCAGATACAACCAGACATGGAAGAAATAGTTCAGCAACAACAGCTAGAAGAGCCTGAAGGAAACGAACAAGTCCCTCCTTTGGAAACTAACTTCACAGAACTAGATGAAGATTTGGAACAGCCGAAAAATCTTGACCCTCAACAAGAGTATGCGGAGAATATGGAATCTTTCCAAGAGTCTAAGAAAAATTCAGCTGACATAGTAGAAGAATATCGAAAAATGTTCGCCGACATACAAAAGACTCCAACATCAGATGAAAATATTCAGCATAGAATGGAAGTACTGAAAGAAAATGTACGCAAATACAACAATCCTTTTTACTTACGACCATATAACGTTCAATCTTTGGCTGAACTCGGTGAAAATAAAAGGTTAAATTTCAACAAAGCATATAGAAATGAAACATTGTTTAAAGTTCATTCAGAACCTAACCAATATGGAAACAACCTACTTTTGTTTCTGCAGACTATGGAACTACAATGAGATGGGGTCATAAAGCTAATCCGGATAGGTGGTTCATAAACTTACAACCACAATTCCAAGAAGTTGTAGACGCAATGGAAGTGAATGGTGAACCAGATATAGCTGGTATTTTCAGCGCGGCTTTAATGCCATTGAAAGATATGAAACATGCAGATATTTTGGACCAGTATGAAATGAACATGGCTGATGGAAATATAACACCTGACGTTCTAGAACATTTATCTCAAAGAACTACACAGAACCATAGAGATGGTATATTTGGTGAAGAGTTTAGAAAGAAAGTTAGGGAGATAGAAGGAAGAGAACCTATTGTACATGACCTTGCAAACGAAAGTTTACAAAATGTCATAAAAACTTACTTTGCAGACAATGAACTGAGAAGGGATGAATATTTAAGAAAACTCAAATGGACAGTACCAAATGAAATGTTAGTATTGAAAAACATGTTCCTTGACAAATAAAACCAACTACAGAAATAAATGACGCAAGACTGAAACATTGGGTAAAAGCTTTCCCATTCACAAAAGATATTATTGGTAACATGGAAAGAAAACCAGAATGGCTACAAAAACATATATTTGGAAACGAGCTTATTCCATATGGACAAGCTCTGTTTGAAGAGCTTGAACCGGAAACTCAGGAAAGAGTCATGCAAACAATACGCGAAGACTCAAATACAAACTATGACGAAATCTTTCTAGGATATAGGTTACCTGAGATGGGCGACCAGAGCCCAAAGGCAAAAAGGACATGGAAAATTTACAACATACTAGGTGAACATGAGGCAAAGATGCAACAACTTGAAGCAGAGGGCAAGTTACCAAAAGCGACACCAAAGAAGAAGAGAAGAGTAGAACAAAGTGAAAGTAGTGAAGAAGTAACTTCATCTAGTGAAAGTAGTGGCAATGAAGGAAAAGAAGAGTTAAAAACTCAGTCAGGAAGAAAGTAAAGCTTCGTCCGAGTGGGTTCTATTATGACACATAAATCCAACTATTCTATATTTTTACCCATATGAAATGTACGCCGCTCAATATAACGCCAACAGTTTTGGATGCCATGAACGGAAATGTTTCCGAATGGTATAACGAATGCGACAATGCCATTAGAAGGTCAGAAATAGTTCCTGGAACTTACGAATATACAACTGCTGTTTCTTATGGAAACGTAGGTGAGTTTGGAGAAGGTTCTTCAACAACAGTAGATATTGCTTGCGACAGGTTTCATATTATTTCTATTGACAACTCATTCTTATACGTGGAACAAGACATTGAAATAAAACCTTCTGCCAAGTTGTCTGACAAGAAAGGTTGCAATGGAATTTTCTATGTCGGATACCAATATGCTCAGAATTTCATGGGATATAAGATATATTCTAACTCTGACTTAGTTCAAACAGTAACATGGGCAAACTATGAATGGTTCGCTTTGAGAAACTCAGTACAACCACAAGCTAGAGAACAAACAGACCAGTATGCAAATATTGAGAAAATAAGAAGACTTGACCCTAACGTTCCAGGAGTTTATGTTAACCTTTCTGGACAAACTGCAGCAGCAGTAACCAAAGTAAAACTGAAACTTAGAGTTCCTTTGTCATCTTTCCTCATCTTCAGGTTTTTAAGATACTTGCCAAACTGGGCAGGAAAAATTTCTATCGAACTTACTCCAAGCAAAAAAACTTAGTCATTGCACCAACACAAGACCCATTCACTATTACAGACGTAAAGGGAACAAATCAAACGTCATTCGCCGAATTTTGCAAAGACAAAGTTGACTTAGACTTTGGTTTCTCAAACCTCAACAATGAAGTAAACTATTATTTCAATGCTGCTGGAACTGCTTGGGACCCAGTTAAGTTTACATGCGAAAAGTTTGAATGCAAGAGAATAGAAAGCAGACTTGCAGTCTATATGTTGGACCCAGATATTTTCAAATGCTTTAGCTGCCAAATATATTGCAGTTCCACTTATGTTCCCTATACACCAAATATCTGTCAAGACTTTGCAGGTGAAGTTGGAAACCAAAGTGCTGACCCAGGTTGCAAGAACAGATATTGCTTTAACAACTGCAATGAAACATGCAGATACTATGTTTGTACTGTTCAGACGAACTATAAATGACTATTCTTGTTTCTACAACCCTGGTATTAAATATCATATAAACATAGATGGCAAATATTATCCAAGAGAAGAATATTCTACAGTTGAGGATATTGAGGTCATACAACTTGACATTAGATGCTATGAACTTTAACAACAACTTCACAACAAACCATTAACCCTGAAATGCAAAGTTCTATTATGCCATATGTGAAAGTATGGACTCATACAGGAGGTCAAAAAACTCAATATACAAATGGAGACCGTTCAAACTTTTGGCTTGGCATTCCATTTGCTGACTCAAGAAGACTTTATGGTGGTATTTCAACTGTTGGTACAGTTCAAATACAATATACTGGTGACAGAGACGGTCCAGATGAACTGAGAGCAAAGAAGTTTACAAAACCAATAGCACTTTTCACGGAAGATGCTCTTTGAAGATTCGTTCGATGAAACCTGCTGGGGCTCCTCAGATTGGCATAAACGACAGCTTCCATCGAGCAGATTTTGGCAGCAGGTCAGTAAGTTGTTCTTGAACTGACTTCTCTCCGTCAATATTGACAGTACGCCAGTTTTGACATAATATTGTAAGATAAACTTACCTTTAGAAATATCTGTAAGTTTTGTTGTTATATTTTTGTCAACGTCAAGAACTTTCACCATTTCAGTTATACCAACTTTCTTTGCTTTCTGAAAATATTTAGGTTCAGCAAAAGACTGCTATTCTATAACATTTACCATTGTTTGTATAAAGAACTATTCTGTCAATGTATTGTGTATTGTTTGTTTGTGTGTGTAAACTTTGTTCTGCTTCAATTCGAAGAGATACTCGAATACGTCCATCTTTTTATTCTAAGTAAAATGTCATTTCCGAAAAATAGAAGCGTGAGTGTTTCAAAAGGTTTAATGGCGGTGGCAGATGTGAAGTTAAAATTCACCAACTCAAACAAACAGTCAAAGTGTTGTTGTCAATGTCAAAGACAGAGATGTTGAAGTGGGGAAACCATACGAAGACAAAGATGGTATAACAATTGTTCCTGTAAAAGAACAACCAACATATCCTGAAGTTAGCAGAGACTTAAGTTCTGTTGCAGATATTCGAACGACTACCAACAACTGAAAGACAAACTTCAAACTCAGGAGAAGATTTGTCAAGCTTTAGGTATAATGTTAACTTGGTCGAACACAACCCTGTAAAAGTGAACTCATATGTCATTGCACCTCATGAAGTCTTGAAAGAACTATTGAAACTTTTGACAGAGGCAGACGATATAAACATCAAAGAAATAGAACCCGACATTAGTTGCTGTGGTGTTTCATATAATGTCATTGACAAGATATACGTTATGAAAGGAGGTGAAACGTTGAACTTAAAGTATAGTTTCCCAGACGTCATAAAAAATATTTGACGACCACAAACATTTCATTAAAATTTATTTGCTAAGTAAAAATGTCAAAACTTCTTGAAAGATGTTTGAAGAAAAATAATATAGACTTTATTTCATGTAAAGGACTTTTACACACTTTTGAACGATATGAAAGACCCTGTTTTGTTTGTTCGTGTAGACAAAGGAAAGTTCTATGTCTTTACAAAATATTTGAACTTCTTAGACAGAGAACTTCAAGAAACGCCATGTGAAAGTTTAGATGAAGTTCTTCTCCACTTTCAGAAAAACTTTTAAATATATATAAATGGCAGAAGATATAATGGTTTATACTATTACGACTAAAAACCCTGAGTCATATAATTCTATAACAACAAACTTACAAAGTCCTCAAGGACGATATTGTAAACTAACCTTAAACACAATGACGACTAAAGCCTGTTTTGCTCTTTTGACACCAGAAGACTTTATTGTTGTGAATGGTAAAAATACTCCTTTGAAGATACTTACTCAGATATACCACCAACAGTTTTGTTGACTTATTTAATACTTTAAGGACGGGTGTAACATGTCTGCAACTAGAGCAGGTTTCTTATGTTTGGATGTCCGACTGAGTTTTACTATAAACAATATGAGCTATAATACAAAAACTTATATCTGGTTTTTACTACCAACAGTTTCCTATAACAGGAAAAGGTGTCATACAAGGAATGTCTATTCATTGACATTAAGCACACCAATTATATATTGTTTCAAACTTAGGTTCAAAGTGTTATTCGAATGTCGACAGAAACTATTATGACCAAAAGATACTTATGCGTAAAACAATACTTTCTCTGCTGGTTTGCCTATTGTTCATTCGAATGCAGAATTTTCAACCTTAGTGAACTCAAACACTTTGGCAAGTATAACGTTGACATTAGTTGACGCAAACTTTGTTCCTGTAAAACTTTTATGTCCTATGTATTTGTCAATGACGGCAGAAAGTTTCGAATTGGAAGATGCAACTGGTGAAAGTATTGTATTACAAGAACAACTTCAACAACAAATAGCTCAAGAACAACAAATGCAACAAATGCAACAACAAAGTCAAGAATAAAAAAAAATTTTTTTTATTTTTATAAAAATGTACAGAATAGATGTTTCAGATTTTTATGACTTCCAAGCATTCAGAAATATGTGTCCATTTCGAGACTATAACAAAGCAGTCGAGAATTTGAAACGTTTAGTCATTTATGTCGACTCTGCCCCAGAATGTTATGTTATGAAAGAATGGGATGTAGTCTTTAACAAACCTAAAGCAACAATAGTTTCAGAACAAGAATGTAGACAGAAACTTAAGAAAATAAAAGTCGTACAAGTTGGCATGAAGATGTTAGATGCTTGGGATATCTTATTGTCAAAACTTGAAGATTTTTTCAGTTCGAGGTATAAAGTTCTATACACCTTCTCCAAACTTCTATTCTATCTTCACTGGAATATAAATCATGAACAAGTAGAATGGAAAGAAAATATTATAGAAGCTTGGTTAGACCATGTCAAAGAAATTATATGCAATGGAAACGAAAAGGTTTATGAGTATATCTTATGTTGGTTTGCAAACATCTTACAACATCCAAGTGCTAAAAATGAAACTGCTCTCATTATAATTGGAAAACAAGGAACTGGTAAGAACACATTCTTTACAGATATTTTGTGCAAACTGTTAGAGGGCTATTCGAACCCGAATATGACAAACTTAGAAAACATCTGTGGCAAGTTTAACTCCTCAATAGAGAATATGAAACTTATAGTTTGCAATGAACTTCAAAGTATAGATACAACAAAAGTTTTAAACTCAGATGCTTTGAAGAGTCTTATAACAGACAAAGTTGGAGTTGTTGAAAGAAAATATAAAGACCAAAGAGTTTGTGAAAATGTTGCAAACTTCATTATGGTTTCAAACAATGCTGTTCCGATGAAGTTAGAAAGTTCTGACAGAAGATATGTAGTTGTCAGAACGTCAGATTCTCATATGCAAGATACAGAATATTTTGACGACTTAGCAGAAACTTTGACATCTGACTTTTACAACCACTTGTTCTCATACTTTATGACATTAGATATTTCAAAGTTCAATCCAAGACAAATTCCACATACCGAAGAGAGACAAACATTGTTAGAAGCAAACAAGAGTGTATATGAACTGTTCATAGATGAAACTGACTTTGAGTGTTTAGATGAAAGGTCATTGTACGATTCGTATAAACAATATTGTCAAGAATATGGTTATATGACAGCGTCTAAACGAACATTCTTGGCAAATGTCAAAAGTCTTTTAGATGTTCAGAATGGTGTATATACAAAGAAAAATTTTTATGAGTAAATTTTAAAAAAAATATTTTTTTATCCGATAGAAAAGATGGCAAAATTCATCTCAGTAAACAAGTACATGTCAGGACTTAAAGAAGAACTAGACCCATTCACATATTTGAATGTTTACTTCTACCATTTTGAAAAGTCTTCATTCAGCAAAGTTTGGAACATCGAACCAGCAGTTAAGTTTGCTATTGTGACTAAAAATGGTGCGAAATTTGAAGACTTAGACATAGAAGGTTTGTTAGCAGTCAAAGAAAGTTTTGACAGAAGGTTTTCAAACCTTAAAGAAGGCAAAGCATACAAACTTGTTATACCTTATGAACCAAAGAAAGCAGACGACTATGAATATTATGAGTCTAAGATAGTTGAAGTTCAAGGTAAATTGGGTAAAAAGATTTTAGAGTCTAAGCCAGTGTTTGCTCCTAAAGAGGAAGAGAACATTGACATTGACCCAGAAATGTTCTAAAAATAAAATTTTATTTTTACATGTCAAATTTCTTTTTCTCTGGAACTGGTTCAGGTTCTTTCTTCTCTTCTTCTACTTTCTTTTCTTTCTTCTTCTTTTCTGGTGGAGTTATGTCAAATTTGGCGCAACTATATTTATGTAAAAGTTCTTTGTCCTTTAATAGCTCTTCTATTCTGTTTTCTATTTCATCTTCAAGAACAGCGCATGTGTCTTCTTTGCATTCTAAGAACTTTTGTTGGACTTCATCTTTCCAATCGGCGTCATCTCTGTCAACAAGTCTGTCATTGACAAATTTTAAGACTTCTCTGCTTAATGTTTTATGGTTCTTGTCATATTCCCAGAAACAGAACTTTAGAACAAATTCACCTTTCTTGTTTACACTATGTAAGATTTTATGGTCGACAGATGTTTTGCTGTCGAAAAGCTTGTCTCGAATATAGATAGCGAAATCGCTAGACATTTTCTAAAAGATAAAAATTTTAATTTTTCTAAAAATATGTTAGAAAAAAAGTTTGCTGACATTGACAAGAAATTTGAGAATGTTTTAAACAAGAACAAGAGGAAGTTAGAAAATGCTCAGATAAAACCCATACATGACAAGTTCTTATTTGCTCAGAATGGTATAACAGGTCTAATTGCACCACCTGGGTCGGGTAAGACTTTCACTTATCTTAAAATGGCTGCACAACAACAAGAACTAGATGAGAAGAACCCATTCTATGAGTTAGTTGTTATTTGTAGTACTTCTGGTCAATTTGACCAAACCGTCAATTCGTTCAAAGATATTATAAAGAAGTCTAAGTTAGTATGTATAAAGGATACTGAGTTGTTAGATTGGATAAAGAAGTACCAAAGAAGGGTTTTGAAGTACAATGCTATAAATGAGTATATAAATTCGAAGTTTAAAGACCCAAATGAGGAAATGCAGAGAATATTAGAGAAGAAACACTTCAGAAACAAACAGAAAGAGATAGAATACATTTCGAAGAAATTGCAATCTTACGATTGGAAGACTTACCCTCATAGATGTCTTCTTATCTTAGATGACTTTGCTTCTCATCCTTTGCTTAAGAATAGAGAACAAGATATGTGTCGAATTCTTAAGAAACTTAGGCACTTTAACATTTCAGTCGTAATATGTGTACAGACAGCAAAGAGTTTAAGTAAGGATGTAAAGAGAATACTTACTGACATTGTACTTTTCCCCGGATTGTCCGAAGACGATTTCATGGAACTTATGAAAGAGTCCATGGCAGGTAAGTTTGACAGACATGAACTATGGGAGAAGTACAAAGTCATACAAGACCCTCATACTTCTTTCAGAATTCATATCTACGCAAACAAAGTTCAAATTGTAAAAAGTCAAGCTTGAAAAATAAATGGTTCATCTACCCTACTTGTTTGAAGTTGTCAAAATACTCTGTTATTTTTCACGATTTTCATGAGTTTTAGGCGACCCAGAAAAAAGTCGGTCTCGCTGTTCTTCACTGTTTTCATAGAGTTTTGGCGACTACGTTTTTTTACGTACTCGCTGTTCTTCACTGTTTTCATACGGAATCTCTTCTCTTGGTTTTCCGAGGGAAGCAAGCATATGAGGAAATTCATGAAATTTGGTCATTTTTCAGCAAAAATAATGTTTAGGTGAAGAAGTGAGATCTCACCTGTTTTTTCACCTAATTTTTCACCTCTTTTTTTTCACAACCGTTTTACATGGTAAGCGTTATTTTTACATTATGACACGAAGTGAAGATTTGCACTTCGTCAAAAATTAGCGTTATTTTTACATTATGACACGAAGTGAAGATTTGCACTTCGTCAAAAATTAGCGTTATTTTTACATTATGACACGAAGTGAAGATTTGCACTTCATCAAATTTTATAAAAAATTAGCGTTATTTTTTCTATCTTTCACAAAAGACCAAAAATAAACGCTTTACATGTATTTTTCAGCAACTTCGTCAAATAATTTTATAGCTTTATCTATCTCATCTACTTCAAACGTTTCTTTACCTTTTATGGGAGCACCATACATTTTCTCAAACTTTTCAAGTAGTTCTGTTTCTGCAGCTCTCATATCATTAACGAACACAACCTTGACTCTATTGACTGTACTGTCATATCTTTGAGTTATATTATATGTCCTTCCTATCTTATATCTTTTTGTATTGAAGTCCTTCGGTTTCTGAACGATGTAAAGTAAGCCTTCACTGCAACGTTCCGTATCGAATGAACCATATGTTATGAAGTTATATCCAACAACTGGGTCAATCCATAACAAAACTATTGGTATAAGACTTTTGTCGATGAGATATGCTGTAGTTCCATAGAATCTTACCGATATCATAAGCTCAGGATTTCTTGTCAAAATTTTCTGAGTAGAAGCAATTCCAACCCAATGGTATGTTTTCTTTCCAGATGGAGATAAAATGTCTGACAAAGAATATTTGTTGTATTTCTTTGAGTATCTTACGTTTAAATCACCTATTCTAACCAATTTGGTGTCATTGTCTATCTTTTTAACTGTTTCAAACTCAATGTTTGTCATTTCTGTTCTTACATACAAAATAAAAAAATAAATAAAAATAAAACTAACTTTATTTTTTCTATCTTAAGGAAACTCATGAAATTTGGTCATTTTTCAGCAAAAATAAAGTTTAGGTGAAGTGGTGCGATCTCACCTGTTTTTTCACCTCTTTTTTCACAAGCGTTTTACATGAATTGTACGATGTATATTTGAAATCCTAAACAGTTTTGTAGCCTCTATTTCTTCTTTTAGTACATCGAATGTTTTAACGATGCCGAAAGTCTCTTTATATTTCTTCTTGACGTCAGACAGGAGAAAAAAACATAGCACACATTTGCACACATTTTGACACTTTTTCTGACAAGCATCATTCAAATTTGAAGAAAAACCTCTAAATTTCATTCAAATTTCTGTCAAAATGTGTGCAAAATTGAAATAGGCACACATTTTGACATACGATTATTTATATACGTTATTTTAATGGTTTCAGAGAAATCTTCGTTACACATTATTGAAGATTACTCAATATTTAAGTGAATGACTCACTACCACCTGTTTAGAAAAATGGTAGCATAAAATCCAAATGTCACATATATTATTTCTTATTTCATACAAATAAACTTACAATTATAACCTCAACTTGTTTGCAAAGCAGAAACTCAATATAAGCAATCGATCAGTAGTGTATTTAAAAGTCGAATTTAAATTTAAAAATTTATAATCTTATTTCGGAACCAAATAGTATAAATTTAGGACAAAAAGCTACGTGGTGTTGATAACAACTATTAAAATTCAAATATTACTACCATGAACAATACAATGGCTCATATTGATAATTGATAAACGTGCATATAAATTGCATATATCATCAATGTCATTAAGTAAAATACATGTATATAAATAGATTAGAAATATTTTTCGGTTAGAATTAAAATCTATGTAATAAAAAATAAGTTATAAAAATAAATACCGAATTTTTATTTGTAATATAAACTGCTACAATATGCTAGTGTATACAAATGTATTTGTCGTATTGATTTGAAAGATCTTCAACATGGTTCAGATCTAAATTTGAAACTCGTAAAATAAAGCGAATCTTTATTTATAATATAAACTGCTACAATATGCTAGTGTGTACAAATGTATTTGTCGTATTGATTTGAAAGATCTTCAACATGGTTCAGATCTAAATTTGAAACTCGTAAAATAAAGCGAATCTTTATTTATAATATAAACTGCTACAATATGCTAGTGTGTACAAATGTATTTGTCGTATTGATTTGAAAGATCTTCAACATGGTTCAGATCTAAATTTGAAACTCGTAAAATAAAGCGAATCTTTATTTATAATATAAACTGCTACAATATGCTAGTGTGTACAAATGTGTTTGTACAAATGTATAACTCTTTGTCAATTGTTATGGCACCTTATAACTTAAAAATCATTTTCATTAACAAATATAAAAAGTGACAATTAATATTTTCATTAAATGCATATTTAATTATCAAAACAATGTCGATTTAGCTTGAATGTTCATTATAAATGTGTAAGTTTAGGAAAACAAAAAATAATTAATTCTCGCAAAGAAACTTATTTTAAAAGAACCTAAACAAAAGTTCATATAATAATAAATCTAAAAATAGATATTAATTTAAACGAAGATAATGAGAGAATGGGGATGTTGTAAAACAATGAGACTTAATGATCAAATAATTAAAATAATAAAATTAATTAAAGGAAAGCTAAAATAGTTTAATGAATTTTTATAGATTGATTACACAATCAATGTTTCTGTGTCAATGTACATCAATCAACATTGTTTCATTGAATTTTGTCTTTCACCAAGAAGATTCAAGAACAAAGTTTTGTAGTTTCAATAGATTGATTACACAATCAATGTTTCTGTGTCAATGTACATCAATTAACATTGTTTCATTGAATTTTGTCTTTCACCAAGAAGATTCAAGAACAAAGTTTTGTAGTTTCAATAGATTGATTACACAATCAATGTTTCTG